ACCCCCCAATGCCTCTGTCTCCTCAGCCGTCCACTCGGCTCGATGAGAAACACCTTGCGCTCTAATAAAATCTCCTTGTTCATTCCTTGCTATCTACCCCCAACCTGATTCACCGCCCCGTCCACATTTATTTTCACACTACCCGGTTTCGGCCTGCTCCACCTTGCATCTTTGGTGACTCCCACCGTACCTGTTGCATTCAGGTCTCCCCTCACCTGAGCATCCTTCCAGTTATTCATCATGCTAGCTCCCACATGAATACCCCCGTAGCCTCTTGACTTTGATCTTCCCATACCATTTTATTCCTCTGTTTCCAAATACACCAAAGAAGCGAGATAAACTTACCTCGTGCTTCCTTGTCCTGCTTTGATAGATTGTGTTGCAGCCATTGCTTGGTAGAGAGCTGCTCCTTCTTGGTCGAAACCCCAACAAGCTGCCACACCTCCTCCACCCGGGGACAATTTCGCAAAGCATGGTCAAGAGATTCCTCCATTGCACCGCAAACCTTACAACCTCTTTGAATATTCATGCCCTTGCTCCTCAGGTTATCCACTTTTGGTAATGTTCTGTCTAACACCTTCCAATCAAAATATTTAAATTTAGGAGGAATTCGAAGGTCCCAAACCCGACTCTACCCGTTCCATGCCTCTGTTAGCTGATCTCCCATCAGCTTTTTATATCAGCTTTTGACAGAAAAATTCCCACTTCGTTCGCCCGTCCACCAAAAATCATCCCTTCTGTCCCGCAAACTAACTGAAATACTCAAAATTAATTCTCTATCAGTTGCATTAAATAATTCGTCAATTCTTTCCCGATTGTAGTTTTTCCCTGTATAATCACGCAATGCAACAACATTCATATCTCTCACGCCCAACGGTTTGTTCGAGGTAATCCTCTCTGAACCCGGACCTGGGAGCCAAGCATCCGCCCATACATGTACATTTATTTCATTTCCCACACGCCTTCTAATATTATCTTTCAAACTATTTTGAGTCTAAAAAATACTTCTCCATATAAACGAAGGATTATTGCCAATTTTTGCATCTAGAAAATTAGAATTGGGAAAATACTTAGCTTTAATCGCACGGCTCATCAGACTCTGGCTTTCGGTAATGAGATGCCACCCCTGCTTGGCTAACATATCTAAATTAAATTCCCTAATTATCCGGAATCCCAAACCCCTAGCTTCCTCCGGCTTGCACATAGCTTCCCTTCTCCTTCACCTCAAGCCTTTGTGCTCAAACCTTGACCCTCTTCACCATAACCCATTCATTAATTTCTCAATATCTTCACATAGATCCTATGGGAAAAGAAACACATTCATAGCATAATTAGACATGGCCTGAACAACATTCCTCAGCAACACTGCTCGCCGAGCTCTAGAAAGAAAACGATTATTCCAGCTTTTAATTCTGCTAAAGACATGGTCCCTTAAATAACCCAATATAGTAGACTTGTTCTTCCCCACAAGCGTCGCTAGCCCTAAATAAAGGCTCTGACCGCCATCTCTTGGGATCCCAAAGAGCTGACAACATTGATCTCTGAACGGCTGCCCCGCGTTCGGACTAAAAGTCAAGGAGGAATTATTAAAATTCACCATCTACCCAAAATTCCTCTCATAGACCTGCAAAATATTTTTCACCTCAACACACTCACTGTTAGTTGCCTTGAAAAACGAAAAAATTCATCCACAAATAACATATGAGACACCCTTGGGGCTCCCCTGCAAACTGAAATTCCGTGGACATCCCCTCTCTGCGTAGCCCTCCTCATCATGGCACTTAATCCTTCCGCTACTAAGATAAACAAATAAGGCGATAGCGGATCCCCGGTCTCAGCCCCCCCTTCGGCGTGATATGCCCCAAATAATCCTTATCATACTGGACATAATAGCTGACAATAGTAACACAAACCATAACAATATCCACCCATCTGGTATGAAAATCCATACGAAGCATTATTTCTTTCAAAAAAAAAACCCAGCTAACCCTGGCATAAGCTTTAAACATATCTAACTTCATAGCCACACATCCCTCCTTTCCAAAACACTTACGTTTCAAGTAATGTTGGTTTTCAAAAGCCACAATAATATTATCGACGATTGATCTCCCTGGAATAAAAGCACTCTGGTTTCCCCCACCAAACCATTCAGAATTCCTTTCAATCTATTTGCTATGACTTTTGGAAAAATCTTGTAAACCACATTACATAAAGCTATAGGTCTCCAATACCCCATATTTTCTGACTTATCTTTTTTAGGGATTAAAACAATATTAGTGATATTTAATTCCCTAGGTAAGCACTCAGTCTCCAAAATACCTAAGCACAAGCGAACCACCTCTGCTCCCACCACATCCCAATTTTTTTGGAAAAATGCCAGATTCATCCCATCTGAGCCTGACGCCTTTGTCTGGATGATTATCAAAAATAGCTGCTTTGATCTCCTCCGGGCTAATCAGCTTTAACAATATTTCATTATGTGAGCCAGAGACCTGTGAAAAATTTCTCAGTCCCGCCAAATCACCCTTTTCAGCCCCTTCCTGAAACAAAGTCTCAAAATAATCCTTCACCACATCCTCCAATTTCCTCCTATGCGTAACCCAAGAACCGTCAACAACCCGCAACCCCTGCATTTTACCCTTCCTTCGCCGCTGCTTAATCGCGTTGTGGAATAAACGAGAATTAATGTCTCCTTCTTTTAACCAGAATTCCTTCGCCCTCTGCCTCCAATATGAATGTTCTTTTTTCATAAGCAATTGGATAACCGATTGAACACGAAGGAACTCCCATGTGCTTCAGCTATCCGTTTGCCCCCTCAAACTAGCTAGTTTCCTCTTACACGCCTGGATCGGTGTCGGAATCCTTTTGGTCTGCATCTGTCCCACCTTAATAATTCTTATCCACAAAACATAATACGGTCACCAACAGATAAATTTTTCCTTGCATTCCAACTATTCTGCACCACTGACCGACATTCATCTTCCCGCAACCATATATTCTCACACTTAAATCTTCTCGGCCCCCGATCATGGATAGTCGCACAGATCATCACCCAAAGAGCCATATGATCACTAACTGGGGATTCATTCACCCAAAGAGCCATATGATCACTATCTGGGGATTCAATCGAGGCTGCCCGAGCTTCCATAAAGCTATTCACCAATTGTCGTTAACAAGAATTCGGTCTAATTTTTCTTCTACCCAATGTATTGTTCCTTTGCCCCGATTCTAGGTCCACTGGTAGGTACCCTTGGAACGAAAAGTCACACAATCCGTTGCAAAAAACTGCCTCTCGAAAACCCCTCACCCTCCACCGGGGGTGAGGAATTCTACCTTTCTTCTCGGATTCCTAGAGAATGTGATTAAAATCCCCAATTATCATCCATGGTAAATTATTATTCTCCGCCATTCCTCGCAGCATATCCCACACCTCCCGTCGACGTCTTGTTTCTGGGTAAGCGTAATAGCACGTTAACCTCCACGGAGCATCCCCAGCCGACAACCGCACCAAGCAGTCCACATATTTCTGAGTCACACCGCCATAACAGAGACCTCCACCTCGTCGTTCCATCCCAACGCCAGACCACCACTATTGCCATCGCTATCCGCCCCTACGAACTGTGGGAATCCCCGAGTTCTCAAAAGATCCTTAGCTCGTTGACAACGAGTTTTTGTTTCCATGAAGAAAATAATATATATTCGGTCGATGAGTTTGAACAATATCCGCCACGCCTTGGGCCGTAGCCATGTTCCCTATCCCTCTACAATTCCAGCTAACCAATGTATTGTTCCTTTGCCCCGATTCTAGGTCCACTGGTAGGTACCCTTGGAACAAAAAGTCACACAATCCGTTGCAAAAAACTGCCTCTCGAAAACCCCTCACCCTCCACGGGGGTGAGGAATTCTACCTTTCTTATCGGATTCCTAGAGAATGTGATTAAAATCCCCAATTATCATCCATGGTAAATTATTATTCTCCGCCATTCCTCGCAGCATATCCCACACCTCCCGTCGACGTCTTGTTTCTGGGTAAGCGTAATAGCACGTTAACCTCCACGGAGCATCCCCAGCCGACAGCCGCACCAAGCAGTCCACATATTTCTGAGTCACACCGCCATAACAGAGACCTCCACCTCGTCGTTCCATCCCAACGCCAGACCACCACTATTGCCATCGCTATCCGCCCCTACGAACTGTGGGAATCCCCGAGTTCTCAAAAGATCCTTAGCTCGTTGACAACGAGTTTTTGTTTCCATGAAGAAAATAATATATATTCGGTCGATGAGTTTGAACAATATCCGCCACGCCTTGGGCCGTAGCCATGTTCCCTATCCCTCTACAATTCCAGCTAACCAGACTCATATCGAGCTACGGAAAACACAGACATTGTGGTCGGCAAACCACCGCCGGGAAAACGAACTAGGCTAAACCCTAGAGACGAACGCATGACTTAATATCAGATACTACTAAGGATGTTTTTACTTGGACTGTAAATTGCTAGTCTGGTTTGGTCTGATCTGAACTGGTCTGGTTTCTTTGAATTTTTATAATTATCTAAGTCTAGTCTGGTGTAGAACAGATTACAGTCCAAATAAAAATATCCTAATTAATATAAAAATATAGTAAACTATTAAACGGGGGACTATTAATAAGGAGATATATCATACTAGTATTTAATTTTATTATGCTCACATGTTGAGGTTTCGTATTTTTAAATATAGTTTTGAATGTTTTCCAAAAAAAATATACTCCCTCCGTTCCAGGGAGAAGTTCCCGGGTTGACTTTCACACATATTAAGGAAATAAAGTTACTGAGGGGTAAATTTTACTGTTTGACACTGTTTCGACACTGTTTGGCACTGTTTCGACACTGTTTGGCACTGTTTTGCACTGTTTGACACTGTTTTGATGTAGGATAACTTTCCATTTAGGGAAATGAAAACTTTTTGTTGGGACTACCAAAAAAGGAAAGTGGGAACTTCTCCCTAGGACGGAGGGAGTAGTTTTTAATGCCTTAATTACAATAATTTTCGTTGGCACAATTTCGAAACTACCCCCATTAGAGCACAATCGGCAAGGCATATTCCTTGGTGATATTTTCGTCTATCCAGTGAGGTTAGTCAATACTCATCATCATTATATATTTATATCATACGTTATGCGTTTTTGACATCTTCAACGAAACCCTAAACCCAGCACACCTCTAAGTTGAAGTGGCATAGCTCCTGTTTCTTCCACCTAGTCTACGGCGGTTGTTCATTACAGGTTAGTCTCTTTAAATGTCACGGGATCTGGTTCTTCAATGGTATAAGCATGCGTGTTTGGAGGGTCATGGTTTATTAAGGGCCTTTTCACATTGATTTTCAGGTATTCGAGGTGGTAGAACTGTGTTCAAGTTTCTACCCTGAAGCAATGGCTCTGGTGAGATTATTTGGCCTTTTCTTGTTTTAAATTCATAATCTTGAGCAGTAGATTTGATCGTGACTTATTTGGGGGTGCATTAAGTGTACATCTGTATATGTTAATTACTTATAAATACGTTTTTCGATTCTGTATGAACTTCTCAAGGCTAGAAGTCGTCTTTCAGCTTAAGAATCACACGCCCTGCTTTTTCAAGTCGTCCGTTCTGAGACAAGAATTTTGAGGCATAGGAGGCGTACGCATAGGCTCTTCCAAAAATGTGATTTTTAATATATTCTGGCCTGACCACACTATTTTTTCTGGTCGGTTTGTTAGAGGATCAGATTAAGTCATCAGATGTTAAACAATTTGAATTTTAAATTAAAAACGTAAGTTTTCTGCCCGGTCAGAGAGACAATATAATTGCTCCTTGTTCTGCCAAGTATTCATGTATTTCATCTCTCTGTTCTGCTCTTTTGTTGCTCTTTGTTCTTATCTTGCAACATGTAATGTTTGATCTAAGGATTGAAGGAATTTAACTTTTTCAACAACTTTTGTCAAAAAAAAAAACTTTTTCAACAACAAAAACTAGAATGGGGTTAAGGGTAAGAAATATTTTATTAAAAATACAATATATAAATTACTACATCAATTCTACATATGTTTTTTACATTTTGTTTAAAAAACAATATGGGTCTTCACCTGGACCCAATTGAACTAAGCACGTCTGCCACTAGCTATGAGAAAGGGTATAGGAGCTTGTGGGTCCAGCTGAACCCATGGTAGGGCTGTTGGAATCCACAGGAGAGATCCTGCTCGGAGGCTTGGGTTATTATTGAAATATTCTGATGAATGCTTAAATAGGATATGCTTACACCCAAATACCCAATGCAAATATTGTAGCAATGTTGTAACCGGAGGCTTGAAAAGATTGACAGATAATCTTGGAGAAACCCATAGTCCATACAAATGTTGCTGACTTCGTTAACTATTATTTGTAGTTGTGAGGTGATGCTTACACCTAGGCGCGCATTGAAGCTTATGCCTCGTGGCTCGTTTATGTCTTTTCAAACCTTGCTTTTGAACCTGAAGTTTGTTTGGTTATGACAAATATTTTACACAAATGTGAAAGTTCTATGCAGTGAACAGATAATATTTTACACAAATATTATCTGGATCTATTTATTTAATTTTTTCATAGATTAATGAACAGAACAACAAATGCTCATATGCTACTATGACCTGCCACATAGTGCTCCGAGTTTTATGGATGTATAATAATAGTGTTGAAAATTAAAAACATCCATGTGGTTTTCATTGTAGGTTCTGCATACATTCGATAACAACAAGAATGCATTCAAATCACTCATTGCTGCCGAGTACAGTGGTGTGAAAGTGGAACTTGCAAAGAACTTTGAAATGGGTGTGTCAAACAAGACCCCTGAGTTTCTCAAGATGAATCCACTCGGAAAGGTATTGTATATCCATTATAAATTTCTTTTATTTTTATTGAAAATCATGTGCACCTTATCTGATTTTTGCCACTGTTTTTGATGGTGTAGGTTCCTGTGCTTGAAACTCCTGAAGGGGCTGTATTTGAGAGCAATGCCATTGCACGTTATGGTGAGAGTGCTATTCTTTCTTACTGGTATAATATGTTGGATATAGAATTCTGCTCTGATGATGTTGTTTCTTATCAAATGCAGTTGCTAAGCTGAAGTCTGACAACTCACTTTTTGGATCTTCACTGATTGAATATGTAAAGCCCTATTATTTATTTAATATGTCTCACTGAGTTGTCTTTATATTTACTTATTTTGATAACTGTATGTTTAGGCCCGTATTGAGCAATGGATGGACTTCTCAGTTACAGAGGTTGATGTTAATATTGCAAGATGGTTGTACCCAAGACTTGGGTTTGTAACATATGTGCCTCAGGTATGTCAGACTATATTTATTCATAATTTACGCACACATAGCATTGCTCAACTAGACTTTTAAAGCCCGTTTGGCAAGTTTTAAAGTGCCCGAAATTAATGCATTTGATTAAAATTTGACAAAATTGACTCAATTTGAGTCATTATTTTCAAACTATATTTTGATTTTAATAAAAAAGTTAAAGTGCAACTGTTTTTTATTTAATTTAATCATCCTAATAAAAAGTATTGTTTATGGAAAATCTGATTGTTAAGCCATGAAAACACTTACCTACAAGTACTTGGTATTTTTAAGATCAACAATGGCTCAATGTTTTATATTTTTATGGTCAAACTAGGCTGAGGAAATCGCGATCTCTGCTCTGAAGAGAGCGCTCGATGCTTTAAACACTCATCTTGCCTCAAACACCTATCTTGTTGGTCATTCTGTAACCCTTGCTGACATAGTTATGACCTGCAACCTTAGCTATGGTTTTAAGTACATCCTGACAAAGTCTTTTACCAAGGACTTCCCACATGTGGAGAGATATGTATGGACTTTGGTTAATCAGCCAAAATTTGCCAAAATTTTGGGTGAGGTTAAACAAGCTGAAACAGTTCCACCTGTAGCATCCAAGAAACCTGCACAGCCAAAGGAGTCTGCAAAACCGAAAAAGGAGGAACCGAAGAAGGAAGATGTGAAGCCTAAGGAAGAGGTGCAGGAAGATGAAGCACCCAAACCAAAGCCAAAAAATCCTCTTGATCTCTTGCCTCCTAGCAAGATGATTCTCGATGATTGGAAGAGGCTATACTCTAACACTAAGACCAACTTCCGTGAAGTTGCCGTTAACGGTACAATCTTTTGCCTCCTCTTTTTATCTCATTTGTCAAATTTTAGGCCCCCTCAGGACACATTAAGCGTCGTCTTATAGGATAATTTTTCTCAAAATATGTAAAGCCGTTTTTTCCATTTACCCCTTCAAAGATTCGTATTAAGTCCCCCTTTTGAATGTCTTATGAAAACTACCCTTTCAATTATGTACTTGGTGAAAGGTTGTCCCAAAAAGCAGGTCTCTTTTTACAAATGTATTTTCCAATGAAAAGTGAACTATTAGATCCAAAGTGACAATTTTTCATTATACTTAATGTATGCTTTTATAATAATAAATTAATAATAAACATGATCTAAAATTTTTAATTAGGTTATGGTTAGTCAAACCATAACCTAATAATATGCTTAATAAACATGATCTGGAAAATTTAATTAGGTTATGGTTAGTCAAAATATAGCTAGAAATATTGATTTCCCATAGCAATTTTTACTGAAATTAAATATTTACGTTGGTGGAACAAGATTTGGGATGGAGGAAGGTTTTTATTGTTTCTTGTTTACCTTTCTTTAAGACCTCTTATAAAAACTACTCCCTCCATCCTGCTAAGATTTTCTCATCCTTCCATTTTTGGTCCGCCCCACTAAGACCGTCCCATACCAAATTTGATAATGTTTGTGTGGTTCTAAGTCATTCTTAATTTATTCTCACTTATCAATGCAATATCAACCACACAAACTTACTTTTGTTGGTAATCGCACCACCTCTTGCTTGAGATGCTTATAAAAAACACTCGATTAGCTATTGTATGGAATCCCCCAATTAGGGTAATATTATAATCTTTTTTCTTTTAATTTTTTCGTAGTTTTATAAGCCCAACTTTGTTATGATTGTGTCTCAGGTTTCTGGGATATGTACGATCCCGAGGGTTATTCTCTCTGGTTCTGTGACTACAAGTACAACGAGGAGAATAATGTGTCCTTTGTGACCATGAACAAGGTGGGTGGGTTCTTGCAGAGAATGGATCTGGCACGCAAGTACGCCTTTGGGAAGATGTTGGTGATTGGCTCACAGCCCCCTTTCAAGGTGAAGGGGTTGTGGCTCTTCCGTGGGAAAGAAGTTCCTAAGTTTATTATGGATGAAGTTTACGACATGGAGCTGTATGAGTGGAAGGAAGTGGATATCAACGATGAAGCTCAAAAGGAGCGTGTCAGCCAGATGATCGAGGATCACGAGCCTTTTGAAGGTGAGGCTCTTTTAGATGCCAAATGCTTCAAGTAATATATATATCATGCCTGGTCACAGTCACTTTGGTGTTTGTAGCCTACATTTTGCAAGTTTTGAGTTGACCCCATTTCTTCTGAACAATGCTTTGTTTTTTTGTTTTGTTTTAAACTCCGAGTGTGTTTGGTGGAGTGCGGTACTGAATATTTTTGGTAAAGTGCGAATGTTATCATTGTTCCTTTGCTGGGACAGTCATTGGTATTATACTATTATTGTTATTGTTTTTGTTTATCTATTGGTAATTTATTTTCTAGCAATGAAGTTCGTCGGGGTTTGTTCGTTTGAAATGTGTACTTTTTTTTTCTTTCAAATCTTTAACATTCATCACACCTTCTTTCGATGTCAGCGACTACATTTTACCAAAACAGTTTGTCCAATAATATATTTTTAAGATACGAGTTTAAGATCAGACCATTCTATATTTTTATCTATACCGTTCTCCCCCCCTGCGTATCTTATATTCTTATAGTATCTCTCTCTATATAGGATTTCTCCATGTGTGTAAGAACCAGCCTGTACATAAAGTTATCACTTATCGGGCTTCTTAATTAAATTTTTCACCAAACACCTAACTTTTAATTTCAAGTAATTAAAGTAATTCAAGTTGTGTAATAATAATTTCAAGTAGTTGTAGTTGCTTTTTTGTTGTATTGGTTGAGGTTACTATAGAATATTTTAACTATTTTTCATATAGAGTTTTCTTTATTTTATTAATAAAAATATTTAAAATATTTTTTAAGAAATCAAAATAATCAGCCAATTTACCTACTACAATCATAATATTTTTTTATAAATTCTAGCAAAAGTAGTCGATTTAGTTAATTTAGCTATTTTTTTTTAATTTTCGATATATCAAAACATTCGTTTTTTTTGAAGCAAAACAAATTAACTAGCATTAATTAAATCATGATGGAGAGTACATGAGTAATACAATCCGGTGGAGAAAAATACCAAAACCGGCGATAAGACAAAGAACACCCTGCCCTAGCTATGGGTGGACTCGGGCTGGTTCGGGCCCGGTTCGGGCCTGGGCCCGGCCGGGCCTCGGGCCAGAAAACTAGGGCCCGGGCCTGAACCGCCGGTGGGCGGTTCCGGTTCCGGTTCCGGGCCAAACCGGGCCGGGCCAACCGGTCTATTTTTTTTTTGGTTCTCCTTTTTAACCCCCTACCCCTCCCCCTCAACCCCAAACCACCTCAAATGGCCCAAAATACCTAATCCAACCCAAAACTTAAAAAAATTTCAAAAAAAAAAAAAAAATTAAAATCTGGCCCGGACCGGGCCCGAACCGGCCGGGCCGGTTCACCATAATCAGGGCCCGAGTCCGGACCGCCATCCCACCGGGCCGGGTGGCCCGAACCGGTGCACCAACCGGTTGACCGGGCTGGTCCAAGCCTGCACAGTAGCGGGCCGGTCCGGTTCCGAGCCGGTTGGCCCGGCCCGAGTCCACCCCTAGCCCTAGCTAACGCATGAGCAACTGTGTTCGTAGAGCGCCTAAAATGAGTGTAGGTAATGCTAGTAAAATGTCTACCAATAATATTAATATCTTCCGCTAATAACCCCAAAATCGAGCAACTTAGTGCTCCTTAAGCCAACTTCGTGCTTCCCTATTGCCCATTAATTCGGCTTCAATCGGAGAGCACCCCCCTAGCCATGGACATTCACCTGCAGCCAAAAAGTCCCCCATACAATCTCGCACAACCCATCCAAGACCAATAGCGGAGAATGAAGCTGAAGCATCGACATTTAGCTTTATCCTTCCAGTAGATGGACGTTGCCAGGATGAACACCCAGCTGAAACCAGCTCCACCCGTGAACCTCCACTCTGTTGAGCCTTAGACCATCCCTCGATGAAAGCTTTAGACTGAGCAACAATCTGTGAAGCCTCGGCCTGAACACCCTGCCACACCCGTTTGTTCCTTGCACACCATATACCCCAGCAACCCCACACAATAGTCTTCAAATCATCCTCCTTTCTCAACTGAAAATTTGCTTCCAACCATTCCATGAAGCTGCCTGGCAGATTAGTAAAAACCTTCCATCCTAGTAATCGACCCACCTCCAGAGCCAACGGACAGCCAGCAAACAGGTGCAAGGAGGATTCTTCGGTTACTTCACAAAGACCGCAAATTTCTGGGCAGGGAACCCTTCTCCGACGCAAAGCATCTCGAGTTGGTAGGCAGCCAGTACATAATTGCCAGAAGAATGTTTTAATTTTTGGAACCCCATCTGACCCCTTTCTCAGACTTGCCATTCCACCAATATCCATTCATAAGAACTTCAATTTCCCGACATAACTCTAAAGGCAACAAAAAAACATTCATTGCGTAATTTGGCATTACTTGAACCACTGTTTTTAATAGGACCTCCCTCCCTGCCTTAGATAGAAATCGATTATTCCAATGTTGAAATAAAAGTGGCTCAAGTAGAATTGTGTGTTAACTTTCTATTTGAAATCCCATCTACAAAGTTTTACCGGAGTACTAGTTTAGTTAGTTTTTGTAAAACAATTAATTCCATTGTATGTACTTTAAAAATATCTTTATATTCCCGTTACAACTTACAATGAGCCTAGTAATAATTGGTCTCCTTGATATTGAACAAACCACATGAAGGGAGTGTTTGTAAAAAAGTTTAAAACGTGATTTTCAACTTTTAGTTCAAATAGAAAATTGAATGACCTACATGTTTATATGCTAAAAGTTGGAAGTAGATGAATGAGTATGCCTTTAAATGCTTTTCAATTTTTATTACAATTTTTTTATCAAACATCATCAACTATTAAATATTCAAAAATAATTTTGTCTCAAATACTACCAACTTTTATTATGAAGCATTTTATATACTCTTTATGGTGCATTACTTTCTTAAAGTGCAACAATTTCAGACTTCCAAAGTCTAGGATATTTTTCTTTGCGATTTCACTATCACCTAAACTTGTGATTGTTTTTATGCACCCTTGAATTTTATTTTTATTATACTATAGTCCGTTCCTGCTCATATTAGCTCCGTCTCATATTTTGAATATCCTGTTTTAGTTTAACACAACTATTAGTAAATTATTGAAATTCAGAAATTGTGATTGAAATTTAAGTAGAATAAGACAACACATATTTTTTGCCAAAAGGAAAAACAAGATATTTATTTCGTGAGTACAAGATAAAGATAATGAAGATATGCAAAGGTCTCTACGTTACCTTATACTTCATAGGAATATGTACTCTATAATTATAGTGCTTGTGTCTCAATAAAATTGAAACAGAAAATGGGACATGTGTACTATAAACTTGCGAAATTGTGTAGTTATTTTTTTGGTAAATGAAAATATGTAGTTAATATTAATTTAAAACCATATCAATAGAATCAGAACTGAATGAGATAGAACTGCTATTATATCATTCAATATTGTATGAAAATTAAACAGGACACACACACAAGACATCGATCATGTAATTAGGCTTAGAATTTATAATTCTAGGACTCTTTCATTTAAGGTGTTTTCGCGTTAACTTTTTTGATGAAATTTTGTGATCATGTTTTTTCATGAAGTGTAGATTATGTCTATCAGATAGCTAGTTAAAATTCAATCGATAAGTTAGATAAATAAATTATTGAAAAATGTGCAGTTTTATATACATATAAAATGCAAACCTTTCAATAGTTTATTTAACCAACTTCCTGATTAAACTTTGATCTGAAATATAGTGGAGATGATTAACACTTCATGGAGAACATGCTAACAAAATTTCATAAAAGAATTCGATCCGGAAACACCTTAAATGAAAGAGGCCTAAAAATTACGTAGTATAAGTTTTAGGTCTACCTTACATGAACATTTTTCTATCTCTGTGTGTGTGTGAATATATAAATACATAATTTTTTAAAAGATTATTTAACTGAAGCCCCGATTAAATTTTAAGCTGAAATTTGATAGATATAATCTACACTTGATGAAGAATATGTTTACAAAATTTTATCAAAATGTTCAACTCAAAAGCTCCTCAAATGAAAGAGGTTTAAATTATAAATTTTAAGTCGATCATACATGAATATATTCCTACACACATATAGACCGAATGACAAATATAATAAGGCAAAATAAATAATTTCTTATCAAATACTCTGTACTATTTCCGTCTCATTTTGTGTGTCTTCTTTTGATTTTACATAGTTATTAAGAAAGCGATTTTACATACTTATTTTGGGGCAACTCCGAAAGGAAAATAAAACAGATAATATGGAACATAGAGAGTTTAATATTTCAAGCAATGATAATATTTTGTAAAAGTCGGGGGCGATCTAGAATGTAATTATTTTTGTATGTAAAATTTTAATATGCAAACTATTAAATGGTTCCTAAGGATGTTTTTATTGGGATTGCAATTGTATGGTCTAGTATGAAATGGTCTGGTGTTATATATGTCAAGTTTTTATTTTATTTTAGAATTAATTCCATTTTTGGTCCTACAATTTATGCGCCAATTCCACCTTTAGTTTACGCCTTTCACTTTGTCCACGTTTGATACTTGACTACTGTTTTTAAGCGTTTGTGGTCCTTTTCCGTGATTTTAAGCATCGGAAACAATCCTAGAAGGACCATATATGGGCGAAAACCTAATAGTCATCTATCAAAAGTGGACAAAGTGAAAGATGTAGATCAAAAGTGGAATTGATTCTTTATTTTATAATTGTCGAGGTTCAGCCTAGTCTGATATATTTAAATCATGTTAGATCTATTTAAATCTAATTTGATTTAGGATCGATACATATGTGAATAAAAACATTCTAACAATTAAATACGTAGTATTTAGAAGTCGATGAAAAGAAGATAGGAAAATTCCCAAGATATGACTAAAACATATTGAGTTTCTCAAAATATGACTAGCTATGTTTTTTTCCCGGAATATGACTAAAAATCGAAAAAAAAAGAAAATTTCGTCATATTATAATGTGGAAGGTCGAAAATGCCCTTATTTAAAAAAGATGCATTTTGCACTACTTTCAGGCGTGTAAAAATATTGCACTTTATGAACGCGTTATAGCACAACATTTACAGCACTTTTTGACGTTATTCACTGCACAGCATATAATGCACTTCATGCACTTAAGTTATGACACTTCAGTTTGTCTTTTTTTTTTAGTTTTGATCATTTTAGTTTTTACGTTTAATTAAATCTAATGCACTCCATGGGAGAGTTATGACAAAAATGTTAGCATTTTATAATTTTTTAGATTTGATAATTGCAGTTTATATCAATGTTAATGCTCTACATTATTGCACTTTTTGTCAAAATCACTTTATATATGGTCATATCATTTCATTTCTTTGTCATAATCATTGTAGTTCTTGTGATATTCACGACATTACATAAAAAATATTCATTGCAAACTGTCCTCAATCGTCTTCAACCTAGGGTTCTTCTTCATTCTTGGGTTCGTCTTCAACCTCGACCGTTTTGCTGCAGAATCTGAGTTGTTGGAGCGGCGTCCGACCATCACCATTCTTTGGCAACATTAATTATTACCCTAATTTCATTAAATAGAAGAAGAACTCAACAAACCTTAATCTCAAGCGGCAAGAGATCAAGTACGCTGGTTGACGGAGGCATGAGGCAAATGTGCGGCGGGACGGCGGCGGCTAGGGCAAGCTCGGCGGCGGCTGCGAGTGCGGGCTGGACGTACGAAGGAAGTGAACATGCGACTGTGCAGTTAGACGGAGGTGATGAGCAGGCGGACGTACGACAAGGCATCGGCTGGGCGGTGGTGGGGTGGCAGAGGTAGGTGGCGGCTGGGCGGCAGCGGGGGCAGCAACGGCAGGCGGGTGTGCGTGAGTAGTGGGAGGCTAGAGGCTAGGGTTGGAGAAGAAGAGTAGGAGGTTAGGGTTTTATAGGCTTAACCTAAGGGGTATATTAGTCCATAAAAATTAATTATTTAATTATTAATTACGAAATTATTTAAATATGATTGATTTAAATATTATTATGGGAAAAAAACAAGTTAGGTGGGAAAGTGGGGAAGTTTTAGTTATACAAGGGATAAATATTTCAAGAAGATACCCAAGCGGGAATATCCTATCTTTGTAGTTTCTAGAATTAATTTGGAGAAATGCTAGGGGTACACAAGTTGTACACAACTTGTACACAAAATGTCGGTCACAGACAATTGGTACGAAGTTGCCTGTGAGCACATACAAGAACTGTTTGTGTACACAGACAAATTTTGTTTGTGTCCACAAACATTTACTTTTTTGTAAAAAGAACACTGACTGCCGCCTGACACTGACCCCAATTTGCAAATCAATCAATATATGTGCAGTGCCTGTGTGCACAGACAATTTTTTCATGTTGCACAAACAATTATGTATCTGTCTGCACAGACAATATTTACCATACAGACAATAGTTGTGCGAGTCACAGACAATGGTTGTATATGTAATCAATTTACATGTAATTTGAAAAAAAAATAGAAAATAATCAAAATAGATGAAATAAGATGAATAAGATAGTTTTATGCAAATAATGAAAAAAATTTTATATAAGAAGGTAGAGAAAAGATGATAAAGAAGGAAAAAAGAGAGTTTTAGAAGAGATTGGGTAATACTCCGTAATAAAGAGAGAAAAGAGAAGGGAGAGAGGGGAAGAGAGAAAGGAGAGAGAAACGACTCAAACGAGAGAGAAGATAGAGTGAGGGGAGAAATGAGATATAATTTGAATATGGACGAAAACCGAGACACATACATCATTGTTGATGACTTGATGATATAATTTTTCCATGGTCAACATTGCTGTCTACCAATACGCATCACACATTCACATAAACACAGTTGTCAACGCACCCACATAAAAATTCCACATTATCATTATTTTTTATTCATATATTTTAACTTTTAGTTGTTATTTTATTATTTTCTAAAAACACCACCTCATAGTAGTCTATAATTGAATGTTACGCCACTCTAAAAAAATTGAAGGAAAATAATTTTAATAGCCTCAACTTTGAAGGGGTGTGAAGTGAACACTCCAAATTTACGTCTGTAATAAAAATATTCTGAACTTTATGCAATTCCCGAGATTAATTTAAGAGGATTAATAATACTACTCATACTAACAGATGTGCATCTCCTTTTAAAGGAGCTCATCACCCAAGAACTCCAAAGTTAAGCGTGCTTGCACGGGAGCAGTCTTGGGATGGGTGACCCCTTGGGAAGTTTCTCAGAGCGCGCATGAGTGAGAACAAAGTGTGCAGTAAATGCTCATGGTGGTTTGTGAGGACTGTACTACAGGTCTGAAGTAACTGTCTCGGGTCCTACGAGGACGGGGTGTTACACTTTATATGAAAGTTATGTGAGGACCACGGTCATATGATTTTTTTCACAAATTTAAATTTGTGGTGTTAAATAAATAATTTAAATACATTTAGCATTTATGAGAATGCAATTGGCACTCAAGCTCTTAGCTTCAAATTATGGAATAATTAATAATTCGTTAGTCTATATATGTTAATTGTATCCTCACAAATGCAAATATTTTAAATTGCGTACTTCACACCAGAAATACATTTTTCAAAGAAAATCACATGACCACGGGTGCTAGCATAACTTTTTATATAAAGTTCAGGATATTTATATTAAATGCGCAAGTTTGGGTGTTCACCGCACACCTCTTCAAAGTTGAGGGTATTTGAATTAATTTTCTCTAAAATTGAGGATACCACACTTGTAAGGAATTTCTGCCCGGAAGAGTATATATATCCACACTTTTCCCAAATATTATATATATACACAAATTTAAACTATACATATATTTTGTGTTAAATACAAGGATCTTATATTATAAATACGAGCATTATATCAAAATGTCTCTGAGGCCGAGTGGAAAGAAGGGGTTGAATCCTTGCTTCATATATATATATATATATATATATATATATATATATATATATATATATATATATATATATATATATATATATATAAAAGAATGATCAGGTCCCCACGTTCGGACAGGACCCTCCGTCCGAACATCCCCGTTTGGGGCCCTTCCCGGTGGAATTTTTTGATGAAATTTTTTGAGCATGTTTCTCATCAAGTCTAGTTTGTCCATACCAAATTTCAGCTCACAATTCGATAGGGAAGGCATACAAATCATTTTTTGAAGTTGACTGCGTTTTTATATGTATATTTTGACGCAGTCAACTTCAAAAAATCATTTGAATGCCTTCCCGATCGAATTTTGAGCTGAAATTTGGTATGGACAAACTAGACTTGATGAGGAACATGCTCAAAACATTTCATCAAAAAATTTCACCGGGAAGTGGCCCAAACGTCCATGTTCGGACGGTGCTCGGACGGGGAATGTTCGGACCTGAACATTCCTATATATATATATTTGGCAAAACAGAAATTTTATTGAACAATAAAAAGAAAGATTACAATGCTAAAATAGGAAATAAAGCATGGAAAAGAGTACAAAAGGATAAAGGAAAAGAAAGAAAATAAAGTGAGAAGAACCCTTTGGGTGAGAAATGAGAATGAATCTCAGCCATGTGATTCGACTAAGTTGCGGTAAAAGACACTTCATGATGCACTGAAATATGCAATCTAGCACGAAGACATTTCTGTAAATACTTCTGAAAAATCCGTATTACACGTATCTAGTGCAACATGAAGCTATTTCGGTGCAACGCCGTCAAATATTAGTGCAACATGTGCAAAATTTAAATATTACTGCAATTTAAAGCCAAGTTTAGTGCAACTTCGTAAATCCAATGACTGAGATTCATTCTCATTTCTCACATTAGATGCATTTCTCACCTGAACCAATATATATATATATATATATATATATATATATATATATATATATATATGTATGTATGTATGTATATGGAAAAGATCAGGTGAGAAGTGCGCCTTAAAATGAGAAGTGAGACGTAATCTCAGCCCTTGGATTTGCATCTGATCTTACAATAAAGTAAACTTATAGAATAAATATATGAACTTATAACCAATAAATCATAACTTATAAAGCTCTTCGTAATAATTATGAAAATGCCACCACGTCAAAAAAATTTCCAGGTTTCCGTAATTATTTTTTTGCGGTGGCATTTTTGTAATTATTTTCGAGGGGTTTATAAGTTATGATTTTTTGGTTAAAAAAAATCCTATATTTAGTCTATAAGTTTAACTTCGCAGTTCTCAGCCTAAGAGCACTTCTCACCTGATCTGTTCCATATATATATATATAGAGTTTATGTACATATATTGGTTTTGACCTTGAAGCCTTAAACAAATTTTAAGTGAAGTTTAATTAAACACGATATATAGTATTTTTGTCCAGAGAATATTTTATTATTTATAATTTTTTCTTAATCTAGTCTATATACATAGGCCAAATTATCAAATCGGTAAAAAGAAACAGGGTCTTTTGACAAATTGATTAAAAAAAACCTCTTGAGTCATATTGGTAAAAAAAGATATCTAAGTGACGAATTGATCAATTTTTTGAGAGTGAGACACTGAGACATTTTTTATCCTTGACTTTGAAATCCCGACATTTCATATTCTAGTATTGTGAAATTGACATTTTCAGTCCTTCAACTTTGATTTTGTCATAAAATGTGTAGGACTTAAAATGTCAACGGCCGTGTTTCAAAATCGCAAACACTTAAGTTACTAACATTTTGTTTCAAATCTTGCAAAAAAAACACATTTTGTTTCAAACTGATAATGAAAGTGGTTAGTTAAAAAGGTTAACGTGATGTGCTAGTATTAATTTACTGATTCAACCGGCTATTAGCTAGCGCACAATTGCTATTATGAAACACGACTGTTGATGTTTTTAGTCATATATATTTTATGACAAAATCAAAGTTGAACGACTGAAAATGTACTTTATAATATTTGGAATATGAAATGTTGAGGATTTCAAAGTCGAGGACAAAAAATGTCTAACACACAATGTGATAATTTAGCCAATATGACTCAAGAGGTTTTTTTTACCAAATTGGAAAAACACCCTGTTTTTTTTAAATAATTACATTATATAATTAAAATAAAGATTGTTACAAGAATATGACTAGTATCAATGAAATCACGGTAACTTATATTCATTTTTTAACTTAAATTACCATGACACTACATTTTAGTAACTATTATTCATATTTTTGTAAATAAACATTACTTTTATTTTTGAAAAACACCTTTTTTTTACTGATAATTTTGCTTATCTACATATGTAAGGCTTTGTTTGCAACTATTTAAGAAAAATGATTTTGGCTTTTTTTTTAAGAAAAAAGAACTTATTTTACCAAACACTATCAACTTTTACTTTTTTGGCTTCCGTGTAGAATCTACTTTTTACTTTTTCTATTACACAAAAAACACTTATTTTATCAAAAAGCCTAATTCGTCTAAAAAAAACTAAAAAAAGGACCCAAATTGACTAGTGCCGGCTGCGCAAGCCAACCACTCTCTTGGTCCCTCCTTCCCTCAACCGCCGTTCCCTATAAATGTGTGGAAGGAAATGATAGAAAGGGCAGAAAAACAATCAGAACAAAAGAAAATGGCAAATAACGCTGGCGAGGAAAAAGAAGAGAAGCAGCAGCATGAAGTTCCCCTCCTCACTCCTTATAAAATGGGAAATTTTCAACTATCTCACAGGTGACAACCTTTGCTTTCAGTCCCTTCTTTTTTCTCTCGAAAAATTCTAATCATTTTAGCGAACGACTAGTTGATCAGATGCACTCTGCAGTAAACGTTGACAGAAATTGAAGAATTTGTTCATGGAAATGTTTCATCCAGAACTGTTTTGGCATTTCGCTGCCCAAAACGGAACGAAATTGAATAATATAGCTAACTCATCTCAGAAATATAAGAGGAGTACAAGTGCGATAGTTTGATTTGTCCAGCCATATCATAGCCATATCATAGTTTAAATCCCTATATTTTTTTTCTCTAGATTTAACAGTTTTTAAGAGTTTAATGCACAAAACTGCAGTTATTCAAAAAATGAATCATAGCCCTATTGTTTAGTGATGCGCCTAAGTTAATCATGGACGTAAATCCCGGAAGGAACACATGTTTAAGTGCATGTTTAAGTAGACAAGTAGCATTAAAGATATTCCTAATTGGATTGATTTGAGTCTCATATCACACCAAATCAAACATAAACACACTGGACCAGATTTAGATAATAGTAAAATTCATATAAAACAAACATCTACTAGACGCCTAGACCATTTCAGTATAAATTAGACTTAACCAAACTAGATTAGACCAGAGCAGAAAATTGCACTCCAATTAAAAACATTCGAACTAGGGCTGGGCACGGGCCGGGTCGGGGCGGGTAATGCAAAATAAAATGGAACCGCCGGTTCCATTGTACGGTCCGGTCCGGTCCGGATATTACAATTTTCAAAATAGGAACCGGAAATTACCCGGCCCGTTTGAAACGGGTCGGTCCGGTCCGAGTTTTACGGTTTCTATTCTCATGTCTTGAAATTAGTAAAAACTCACGAAGTTCCAAAAATCAATAATCAATAATATAGGACATTAGCAAGTTTGAAAATAACAACATAGTGGTGCACATATAACACAAGCGAAAAGTCTAATAATACTCCATAATTTCTTGTATATAAGTTTCAAACAATTAAAGAAATTCCAAAAATATGCAACATAGCCAATTTACATATTTTCTAACATTTGTATTTAAACATGTTGTCTAACATCACATATTATAGTGATTGCTTTTTTTTATATTAAATTTTCAGTATTAGCCAAAGTTGACACATACATGGTGGGTGGTAAACACAATTTATATATTTTAATAACAATATAATAAAAAAATATAACAAAATCATCTTTAACAAATAATTAAATTCCATAGAAAGGAATAATTCAATAACAATAAAAAGTAATAAGATATTTATGAAACATTTAATCAATAATTTGAAAACAAAAGGATGTTACTCCAACTCAATTTAAAATCCTACTTCTAGCAAAGGAAAGAAAACTATTTTAAAACCGATTATCACAAAGCTATTAATAAATTAATATACAATATATATAACGGGCCGGGCCGGGTACCCGTTATTTTTTAATTTTGGAACCGGTCCGGTTCCTAAAAAAAAATTACCCAACCCTACCCGGACCGTTTTATGGCAACAAAAAATGGAACCGGCCCGTTTTGGACCCGAACCTCCATTACCCGGACCGGACCGCGGTTCCAAGACCCGTTTGCCCACCCCTAATTCGAACACATTAGATTTCCAGACGGCTAAATTTTTTGTTTCAGGGTTATAATTAATCATAACACAATATGGTTTGAAGCCTATAATTTATACTCCGTAAATGACAAGGGTTTGAGTTTACTACACATATTAAACATGTATTCTAGTTCTGAGCAATTGAATCCTGTTTCATACAGAGTTGTTTTGGCACCCCTTACAAGGCAGCGATCTTACAAAAACGTCCCTCAGCCTCATGCTATTTTGTATTACGCCCAGCGAACCACAAAAGGGGGTCTTCTAATTGCAGAAGTGATATTTTAGTGATTTACACGTACTATTAGAATGCTAAAACACGAAGAAGAAGAAAATAAGGCTTAATTCTCTGTCTCCATTCATAAACCATCTGTGTCATTCTTATACAATAGAGATCCCGTAATGATCGGATCGTTTCCATAAAAGAGTGGTCTCCTAATCAAATATAATAACCATAAATAAAAGATTACAACATAAAAGAATTTAAACTAGTCCCCAAATAAAACGTTCCAAATAAATGTTCCAATACCCCCCCTCAAGTTGGCGCGTGAAGATCCAGAATGCCCAACTTGCGTAAAAGCGTCTGAAATTGAGTCTTTCCAAGAGCTTTAGTGAAAACATCAGCTAACTGAACAGTAGTAGGGACATAGCTAGGAGCAATAATATTGTCCTTAATGGCGTCACGGACGAAATGACAGTCGACTTCAATGTGTTTAGTACGCTCATGAAACACGGGGTTGTTAGCAATATGAAGAGCAGACTGACTGTCACAATAGAGCGGGATAGCCTGAGGATGATGAATACCCAAACTCAAGAGGAGTGCCTTTAACCACTTAAGTTCACATGTGGCGGCTGCCATGGAGCGATATTCAGCTTCTGCAGATGACCTCGCAACAGTAGATTGTTTTTTAGCTTTCCAAGACACCGGTGAGTGGCCAAGAAAAACTAACCAGCCCGAGAGTGACCTACGAGTAATGGGACATGCAGCCCAATCAGAATCACACCAGCCAGAGAGGGTAAGATCACTGTCAGCACGAAGCAAAATGCCCTGTCCGGGAGAACCTTTGAGGTATCGAACAACACGTAGCGCTGCAGACCAGTGCTCACTCCGAGGATTTTGCATAAACTGAGATAAAATGTGGACGGAGTATGTAAGATCAGGACGCGTAACCGCCAAGTAGATAAGTCGTCCAATTAGGCGACGATATTGCTCAGGATTTGGATGAAGTGGGCCTGAAGCATTTCCAAGATTGTGATTTTGCTCAATCGGAAGATTGGCCGGTTTTGCGGCCAAGAGGCCCGTCTCAGCAATAATATCTAGAGCGTATTTTCTTTGGGTAAGAAAAATACCGGAGGAGCTTCGAGCTACTTCAATTCCAAGAAAATACTTAAGAGCACCCAAATCCTTCATATGAAAACAATCATTAAGATAGGATTTAAAACTGGCAATAGCAGCACCATCGTTGCCAGAGATCAAGAGATCATCCACATAAACAAGAACGTTAAGCTGAATAACACCACGGGTGAGAGTAAATAAAGAATAATCAGCATATGATTGTAGAAAACCATATCCCTTTAGAGCTGCAACTAATTTAGCGAACCAACATCGTGGAGCTTGTTTAAGTCCATATAAGGACTTATGAAGGCGACAAACTACATTGGGGTCGCTGGTTTTATAGCCAGGAGGAATCGTCATGTACACCTCTTCATGTAGGTCCCCGTGGAGGAATGCATTATGGACATCCATCTGGTGTAATTCCCAATTTTTGCAAGCAGCTATAGCAAGAAATGCACGCACAGTTACCATTTTGGCAACTGGTGCAAATGTTTCAGTATAGTCCAGGCCAGCGACCTGCCGATTACCAAAAATAACCAAGCGGGCCTTAAGGCGTTCAATACTGCCATCAGATTTATGTTTAACTTTATATACCCATCGACACCCCAGTGCACGTTTTCCAGGTGGAAGGGGAACCAGGCTCCAAGTAGAATTGTGTTCAAGGGCTTGGATTTCAGCACGCATGGCATTGCGCCATCCTTCAACTTTGACAGCATCATGAAATGTTTGGGGCTCCGTAATAGAATTAATGGCTGCCAAGTAAGCAAGATGTTTTGGAGAAAATTTATCACAAGTAACATAATGAGTTATAGGGAACGGCGTACCTGAGAAAGATGACGAAACGGGAGGCACGGGAAATGGACTGTTTTTAACTATTGTGTGAGTGACGTAGTCTTTCAGACGCACAGAAGGTATACGTTCTCGCTGCCCTCGGCCCAAAACAACGGGCTGCTCTATAACATTTAATGCATCAGAAGTGCCCAAAGCTCCTGGCTGCTCTATAATATTTAATGTATCAGAAGTGCCCAAAACTCCTGGATGTTTCAAAATATCTTGTGGTGTAGTGGGTACGCAAGTGTCAGAATCAGCATGGGTGAAAATTGGAGGTGCAACTGGAGGCTCAACTTCTTGATGCGTGGAAGGATATTCAGGCGATGGCAAATCAGAATAATCATGAAGTAAAATTTCGGATGATGCAGGCAGATTATCTGAGGGGGGAGATGACTGTGCAAACGGAAATATATTTTCAAAAAATTTGACATCACGAGACACAAAATATTCCCGAGTCTCGATGTCATAAACAGTCCACCCCTTCTTGCCAAAAGTATACCCCACAAACACACACTTTCTGCTTCTACTATGAAATTTATCACTCTTAGACTTCATATCAAAAGCATAACATAAGCAACCAAAGACACGCAGAGATTTATAACATGGCGGTACACCAAATAAAATTTCATAAGGCGTCTTATAATCATGAATTGCAGAGGGCGTACGATTAATAAGATAAGATGCGGTTAGCACGCATTCGCCCCAAAAAGAAATAGGTAGATGTCCTTGGAATCTCAAAGCGCGTGCTACATTTAATATATGTCGATGTTTACGCTCAACACGTCCATTCTGTTGAGGCGTACCAACACAAGATGTCTGAAAAATAATGCCACTATCCCGAAAAAAATCTTTCAGACAATTAAATTCAGTGCCATTGTCACTTCTCACAGTTATAATTTTCTTAGAAAACTGACGTTCCACCAGAGCAGCAAAAGAAAGAAACATTTTAAACACCTCCTTTTTATCAATAAGAAGATAAACCCATACGGCACGAGAATAATCATCCACTATCGTCAAAAAATATCTAGCACCACACGAAGAAGGGGTATTATATGGACCCCACAAATCACAATGAATTAATTCAAAAATGCCACGAGCTTTACTCAAACTAGTAGAAAAAGAATCTCTAGTTTGCTTAGCTTTAAAACATATATCACAAGGGACGTTTCCAACAACATTCTTCAAACCACTTACAGGAGCTAAATGGCCGATTACTTGAGGTGATGGATGCCCTAATCTTTGATGCCACAAGTCTACCACTGAATCCTTGGATTCTCTTATTGCCAAAGCATGTGCTGAAGGTTCCTCACGCAAATAATACAGTCCATTTCGCCGTTCACCCGTTCCAATCAATCTACTCGAGATACGGTCCTGGATAACACATAAGTTACAAGTAAATTGAACGAAACAGTCACGCTGATCACTCAGTTGGGATACCGATATAAGATTGCAATTCAACTTTGGAACATAGAGCACATTATTTAGATAAAAATTATTGGACAATATTACACGCCCTTCTTGATTAGCCAAAACTGTCTGGCCATCAGGTAGACCAACAGAGCACGGTTCAATAGTTTTAATTTGACATAACAATGTCAAATTTCCACACATATGGTTAGTGGCACCGGTATCAATAATCCATGCATTATTGTCAAACTTACCTGCCATGCCATCAGTAGATGGAGCTAAATTACCAAAAACTGAGTGCAGAATTTTCCCTTGCTCGGATGTGAAACTTGACAACAATGTTGATTGTCCTCTGCCTTCATCCCCTTCAATTTGTGATTTATTCATATTGTCAGCAACTGTAGCAGCATGGGCCTTTGTCAAAGGTCTGCCACGTGATGCTCTTGAAATTTTGGATAGTCCACATCTGCCTCCTTTTATTTCTGCCCACTGTCCCAAGTAAAAGGACGAAGAATGGTAAATCTTCTTCGGAGTATCATCGGGTGTGGATCCTCCTTCTTCCGTCGGCATTCTAGCTAACTAACAATTTAAGAATGCTCTGATACCATGATATTTTAGTGATTTACACGTACTATTAGAATGCTAAAACACGAAGAAGAAGAAAATAAGGCTTAATTCTCTGTCTCCATTCATAAACCATCTGTGTCATTCTTATACAATAGAGATCCCGTAATGATCGGATCGTTTCCATAAAAGAGTGGTCTCCTAATCAAATATAATAACCATAAATAAAAGATTACAACATAAAAGAATTTAAACTAGTCCCCAAATAAAACGTTCCAAATAAATGTTCCAATAAGAAGCAACTGGAGTTTCTAACACTGCCCAAGGGTAATGTTTTTTAATTATTGTTTTTAACTCCGATATCACATGTTATTAACTGACCTCAATCTTTTTTGGGTATAAGCTTCGGATTTTGGTGTATCTCCTTGAACAGCTTTTTTAAACTACATACTATATAGTCATTCATTTAAAAATAAATGAGCAGATATCCGGATACACCTGGTATATGGACAAAGGAGCAGGTTGAGGCCTGGAAGCCCATTGTAGATGCAGTACATGCTAAAGGAGGAATCTTTTTTTGCCAGATTTGGCATGTTGGCAGAGTTTCAAATAGAGGTATTCTTGGCTTCTTGGTTTAAACTAAGCATCAATGAAGAATTGAAGATCATGTGATCTTAAAATGCTGCATGCTTTATTTATGGTGCTTAAGTTGTATAAACCCAGTCTATTGAAATATGGGGTCTCACACATTAGTCCTTGGGTTAATTCAAACTCTAAAAGTTCAACCTGATATAGAGCAATCCAATGTTTATAAATTTGTTCACTCATTGAATAGTAAGCTACAACTTTTATTGATATGACTTCGAATTTACAACTTCAAAATTTATAGACTTTTACAATCAGCAGCGCCCCCCAATTTTTTTCTTAGATATTTTTACCCCGAAATGTTAATATATACGGAGTATGTATTTGTATGTATTTTTTTACATTGCTACCCCTCCTAGCGTGAATTCCTGCATCTGCCGCTGTTTACAATGCTCAAGCCTGGTAGGAATCGGAAACCTAAACTTTAAACTTAATAGGAATAGGGGACTGCAATATTACTAAAGCTTTGATACTTATATTACTATTTTTATACTTCAACAATGTCATGACCTTCTCCATAGTAAAAAAAGTATTGTTAATAATCTCACTTTGACTGATTCAAGTTGATTGGCCTCAACTAATAATAATGTGCATCTGTTTCCATTAGATCATTGGCTTGATTTGAGCCCATGATCTAATTATCAAATGAAGGAAAATGTTATGAAATTCGCTATTTAACTTTCTCTCGTCATTTACACAGATCATTTTCTTATATATCCTATCTTTTCAGTTCATTCATCTTATTAATTTTCTACAGATTTTCAGCCAAATGGACAGCAGCCTATCTCCAGCACAGACAGGGCATTAACTCCCCAAGTCCGTTCCAATGGCATAGATGTTGCTCAGTTTACACCTCCACATCGATTAAGGACCGATGAAATCCCTCAGATCATCAATGATTTCAGGCTTGCTGCAAGAAATGCTATTGAAGCTGGTATTTTTTTGGGGGGAAGGGGGTCTATAATTTTATTATAGAAGTATTTCAAGGGACACAAAAAGTGACACGATGTTTCATGCACAAAACAGTCAAATGTCTTATTTATATTCTAATAAGTTCACTACATTTTTTATCTGTATTCGAATAAGTTCACTACAATTTTTATAGGCTTTGATGGAGTGGAGATCCACGGGGCCCATGGTTATCTAATAGACCAGTTTCTGAAAGACCAAGCCAACGACCGAACAGACCAGTACGGAGGCTCACTTGAGAACAGATGCAGATTCGCTCTTGAAATAGTTGAAGCGGTTTCCAATGAGATCGGAGCAGACAAGGTTGGAATAAGGCTCTCCCCCTTTGCTAACTATATGGAATGTGGTGACTCGAACCCAAGCGCTTTGGGACTTTACTTGGCTGAATCATTAAATAAGTATGGCATTCTTTACTGCCATATGGTTGAGCCAAGAATGAAAACCGTTGGGGTGAAGTGTGAGTCCCCACACAGTCTTTTGCCGATGAGAGCGGCTTTCAAAGGAACTTTTTTAGTGGCTGGTGGCTATGGTAGGGAAGATGGGAACAAAGCCATTGCTGAAAACCATGCTGATCTTGTGGTTTATGGCCGCCTGTTTCTGGCTAATCCAGATTTGCCAAAGAGGTTTGAGATCAATGCCCCTCTGAATGAGTATAACAGAGAAACGTTCTATATCTCCGACCCAGTTGTTGGGTATACAGACTATCCGTTTCTTGAAACCACACCTTTGTAATAATGCTTGATGTCATTCAGAGCTCAATATATTCTCTGCATATCTTCTTTTCTCCATCAATAATAAGATTGTGACATTCTGTAGACTAGGACCAGTTCCGAAACGAACAGTTTGGAGTAAGGGTAATGGGGGAACTGGAACCTTGCTGTTCTAAATTGGATCAAATTTCAGTGAGTTCACGTTTTTAGCCAATCAAAAAAGTAAAAAAATATCGAAACGTGTCAGTTCTGGCCCTACACACATATGTGCATATAGATAGTACATTATTAAGGTGTGATGCTCCCTCATACATATATGTATTTATGTGTGTGAATGTTTACAAATATCTGTCCATATATGTGTGATTAAGGCAACAGTGGGGTAGCAAGGAGGGACTCGACGGTGTTTCAGCCCCCCAAAAAATTCTGCATGTATTATGTGTATATAAAAAAAATACGTAGTACTTGTAAACTATAAAAATAAATTTATGAATTTATGGAACTTCTTGTTAGTCTCTGACCCAGCCCTCCATGCTAAATCTCTAACCTGCAACATAGCCATCCTCATTTAACAAGTTAAACTATGTAATGGTTATACAGAGTTTGGATCAAAAAGTTTGATGCACAATAAATATGATAAATCTCATCTGATGCACTTTTTCAATATTTATGAAAATGTTACCATGCCTAGATGACAAAGGTTATTGTACATCAGGTTGATAGTTTGGGCGGTTAAGATTAATTCTTATGTGGTTAACGAAATTGCCATGGAAGAATTGCAACGGCGATGTAGTAGTTCATGAATTGATATCTTTAAATATACGAATTATATGGTATGAAATTATGAATGATATGTTGCACGTATCATCATTTATTGTAAACAAGATGTATTTTATTGATCTCACAATGTGTTGAACATCACGTAGGGATGGACTCGGGCCGGGTGGCCCGGCCCGGAACCGGCCCGGCCCAGGAACCGGTCCGGGGGCGGTTCGGGTTGGCCCGGCCCGGTTACTGTGCGGTTCGGGCCCGGCCCCTTTGATTGGCGAACCGGCCCGGCCGGTTCGGGCCCGGTTCGGGCCAAATTATTATTATTTTTTTGGGAAATTTTCACAAATAGACTCAAAAGTCAAAATAATATCAACTTTATCACCCCTTAAACTCTTTTACAAATATAGCCTACCGGGAACTTTTACTTTCAAAAATGGATCATCCGCACATCAGGTAGACTTACTCATATTGAATTATTTTCGTCGCAAGTGGACCACTCACGTGAGGTTAGTATCACTACTTTTTCTCCAGATACTTGTACAAAATGCAGATATCACTATTTTTTTTTTTAAATAAGAAAATGTAAAAATTCAAAAAGATGATAAATCCTAGAATATAATAAATTCTAAAAACTGAAATTGAGCCTTAAAAAATTAAGAATTCAAAATAAAAAATAAAAAATAGGAAAACATATAAATTTGGAAACATGAAAATTAAATTTAAAAAATAAAAGAAAATGAGTAATTGTAACTACAAAAATCAGAAAAATAGAAAATACTTCGTATATAGAAAACAAAACAAAAAAAACTTGAAAACAAACTTAGAGAAAAGTTTAAAATAGATAGAAATGTTGGAAATTTACAAAACTATACAAATATGATTTTTTGAAATATAATTTCTAAAAAAATTTAAAATAATTTATATAAATATAAAATATATAAAAATTAATTCAAAAAGGATTTACAAAAAGGTAAAAAATTGAAAAACGTATAACTCTAAACGAAATATTTAAAATAAGACACAAATGTTTTGATAATGTTAAATAATATGAAAACTAATTACAAACTTTTGTGAAAAGTAATTATTTTGAAAAACTAGGAAAATGTGTATATTAAAAATAAAAAGTCAAATACATATTTAAAATTTTAAAAACATTCAAAAAGTTGAATTGAATTTTAAATAAGTTAAAAAATGAAAAAATATTACAGCATTATAAATAATCAGAACTTAATGTAACCTAAAACAGTATAAAATTAAAATAAACTTAAAGAATTAAAAATACGAAAATTATGAATAGTGAACTTTAAAAAATTAAAAAATATATTAATTTTTAACGAATCATTTATTTAAGTACTGATTTTTTTAATTATTATCATTTTATTATTAGTTTTTGTTTCATATTGTTTCTCGGTGTTTTTTATTGTTTCTTCGTGTTTCTTGTTGTAGTTGTTGATATACAACAATTCAAACTTATCATTTTAAGTGTGTGTGTATGGAATTATGGGTTTTTCCCCTAAAGAAGTAGGGGAGATAATATAAACCTAAATAAGTAACATTTTCAAAAAAAAGAACAATAAGTAACACAATGCAACAAAAAATAACAAGTGAAACAAGATGCAACAAAAATCAACATGTGCACAGCAACAAAAATCAACAAAAATCAACAAAAAGCAACAAAAAAATAAAAGTGCAACAAGATGCAACAAAAATCAACATGTGCACAGCAACAAAAAGAAACAAAAAAAAACGAGATGTAAAAGTATTACAACAAATGTATATTCCAATCTACTACATTATCTATTACAACACTTGACTTGATTCTTCTAATTCCATTTATGCCGCATCTTTATACAAAACTCATGAGGTTTGTCTCTCTTTTCTTCATTTTCTCATCTATCTTCTCACCCTCTCATCTTCATGTACATAGTTTTATAATGCGTCTGCGTATCTGCGATGAGAATGCGATCATTATGACACAAATTTAGAATCAATTATTACCAACAAACAATACATACACAACAATATATACATATTATTTTTAACCAATTCCAATTCATTTACAATTGTTTCAATTCTTACATCTAAGACAGAAGATTGCTAATTTTTTATTCATCAATATAATCATCAATTTAGTCATGCTTCTCTTGTTAGTCCCACAATCAAGTTAGAGTGGAAGTATATCCAGAGGTAAAAAAACTCACATTCTTACATTGCTGATATTTTATTCATCAATATGATAATCAATTTAGTCATGCTTCTCTTGTTAGTCCCACAATGAAGTTAGAGTGGACGTATATCCAGTGATTAAAAAAAAGTCACATTCTGAGTGTTTATAGTTTACTTGAACTAAAATTAAAATTAAAATCAAGTAATGATGATTTGATAGTTAAGATTAATTAGTTTGGACACGGTAAAAGTAAGTAAAATCGGAAAGTTTATATGAACTTAGTTTTGAGTTTTCAAAATCGTGTTTTTTTGCTATGATACTAATCGTAAATTCTTGAAAAAAATCAATTAATAGTTTACAATTACAAACTAACCTCAGCGAGCTCATTTCTCAGTTGTTGGGCGATGTGGTGTTGCTCCCAATTCAGAGCACACTGCAAAAAGATTGCATATTGAAGCTAAGCCAATACTTTTACTTTCTACACAGAATACTAACTAAGGCCTGGCTAGCGGTACATGATTAAACTATACAGCCACTTAGTATAGTGATAAAGCAGTTTAGACCTGAACTCATGTTGCCAAATCCTGCGGGAAAATAAGGACCAATATGTCCTCATTATACCTCTTGTTGTGCTCAATGCTAGCAGGTTCTGACCGTCCCCTTCAAACAGCCATCCAGCTTTAACTCACCAATACCATCCTTATAAAGATATCAATATGTCTAACATCAAATATTCTTTTTCTATATGAATAATGCCAACGACAGCAAACACAGTTGGCCCCCAAGTCTTTATTAATTACTAAATTAACTTTGATGAATGATTAAAATTGTATTTAGATAGGACTATAGGAGTTAAAACTAAAATGATTCAGATTCACCACAAAACAAAAACAAAGATGCTATAAATGATTGTTGAAGATACCAGAGTACCAGACCTCATAATCACAATCTACAAGTTGCTGCTCACTAAGGATGACAAGATTTTAGTGGCGAGAAAGTTGACTCCCTCCAATGCTCTAGTGGTGCTGAACAATCAGCATGACCAGCATGAGCCCTGTTTTCAAATTTTCAATTCCCAGGCCAACAATAATTGAATTCAATTCATATACTACATAATTTATTGAATATTCAGATATCTCTCACATGGATCATAATTTTTCATCAATTGGAAGAAAAATCTACCTTGACGATTCAATTACTAAAACACTATACGACAATGATGGATGCGAACCTGATTCTTTTACGGGAGTAACTGCACCATGCTCTCTCCCAAACTCCCATCGAATTTAGATGGAGTTAAATCGGAAAACCTAGCTAGTGACATTGTGACATCGGATCGAATTCGGATGGAGTCAAATCGGAAAACCTAGCTAGTGACACTGTGGACATCGGAGTGGTAGTAGACTGTTCTTCGAAGCTTGGAAGGGCCATCATCCTGTTTCCGTCGATTGGAAGCTAGTGCCATCAGAGGCTTAGGCAGTGGACAAAATCTGATCGAAGGAATTTGGTGAGAGTTGGATAGATTTAGCGATGTATTTCTGAGAAGAAGATGTACTTCCAGGTTGAGATTTTGAAGAGAAAGTGATCGAGTATATGCATTTGCGTAGAAGATTATCGAAGAGGAGTTGCTGGGAGATGGAAGTCATCATTCGTTGGCTCTCAAAGCCTTCCGTGGATGTATCTGGAGGAGGTGCACAAACTATCGTCTAAAATTGAAATTAAAAAACAAAATTGAAAGCTGAAAAGATTAAAAATGAAAAGAAGAAGTAATCGAGACATAAATGATATATGGAGTTTAAAAGTGGACCATACGGGTAATTTCCACTATTTTTTTTGATTTTTTTTTAAGTTTTTGGGTTGGGCTTGGTATTTTGGGCCATTTGAGGTGGTTTGGGATGGTTTGGGGGTGAGGGAGAGGGTTGGGGATTAATTAGGAAAAGCCAAAAAAAAAATAGAACCGAGGCCCGGCCCGGCCCGAACCGGAACCGGGATTACCCGGGCCGGTTCCGGGCCTCCCATTTCTGAACCGAGGCCCGGCCGGGCCCAGGCCCGAACCGGGCCCAGACCCGAACCGGGCCCGAACCGGAACCGGTCCACCCATAACATCACGTCCCCAGGTTAGAGTTGTTGAAAACCGGCACAAAAAAGTCCCATCCGGTCCCCTTTTAAGACGGAAATCACGGAATCAAACCCATTCTAGATTTCTAGATCTGATCACATTTTATGTTATTTTCCAAAAAAAAAAAATAGACAAAAAAAAAAATCAAAATCATCAACAGAAAAAGTCAAGCACATTTACAAGTAACTTTATACTTTTAGACCCTGCCTGAACTGGACCAGGTCCATCCCTAGTCGAACATAAATCTAACCATCTATAATCCCATTATTCAGCCTAATTATACACTTCGAACAAGATCCAACTGTATTAGCATTATCATAATCAAATGAATTAGTACTGGTTAACTTTCTTAACACTAAACTTCGAGCCCAGTACTTGTACAAGTCTCAAATTATGTTAGCACCCTTTGAAACATATTTGCAGCCTTCTTGTGAGCAATAGATCCAATTGCAGCCATTAATCTTGATAGCATCATTTCATTCCCAGGATGAATGAAGAGAAATAAGCACATGTTGAATTTATGAAACTGAGCAACCTATTCATAGACCGATAGAAGCCAGGTATAATCCACATTGACAAGGTAAATAAGATTTAAACGACGATGATAGGATGCAGTCATTAAATTTAAGAGCGCTAAAAATCACCAGTAGATACAAATTGCAAAATACGATGCACACTCATTCATAACGGTAGTTACAGATATTATGAAGCTTCTTCAACGAACTTTACGGACTCTTTCTTCCTGTCCCAATCCTAGAGACTTTTGTGCATCTGCTATTCCTTCAGGATCTGATCAAATGAAAATCCAATTTCAAACTAGCCGTGATAATGACCATGAAAATAATGGCAACAACAACAATGGAAAACCAAATTAAATTAAGGAAAAAGAAAGAGTTAATAGTATGGATGTAGACTTGTCCATGGTTCCGAGCTGTCTACCAAACACTAGTTTATTTAGTAGCAAGCAATTAGTTAATATTGAAAATGAGTAGTATGAATGCAGACTTGTCCATGGTTCCGAGCTGCTCAAGAACAGGTATCTGAACCAGAACCTTAACTAGGCTGTTCTAGTCTGGATTTAGAATTGTTTTAGTTCCAGTCCTGATTCAAGCAGTTCAAGGATGGCTGCTTGTTTAAAACATTCATTAAAATATTCGTTATATTTTAATAAAGAATAACTAATAAAATTTTAAAGATTAAAGTACTACAGGAATAAGAAATCTGTAATTTGATCTATCATTGTATAGTGATACACTTAAAGTTAAATCTTTGCAAACTATAGAAGTTACATTTAAGTTGAATTCTTATACAAATGATCAAATGGCATATGAATTGCATACAGGGTATATATTTTAAATAAATGAGTACCTTGAAGGCTTGATCATACATGTTCTAGAACCAGCAGCTATGTAGCACGGAAACTCTCGGGAAAGAGTACGTTTCCCGTTTCGGAAACTCTCGGAAACTCTTTGGAAACTCTCCAAATAAGCCTTTTTTGAGCAAAGTTGACGTTTCCCGTTTCCTCATGATTTTCACGTTTCCGTGCAACATAGACCAGCAGTTACAGTTTAGCAGAGAAACGTGAACAAATAGACATTTTAATCTGGATGTACTTCTAGCAGAAGTTCTTGAGAGTGATAATGCAGCCTATAAATCATACTCCCTTCGTCCCAATATTATCTCCTGTTTTGACTTTGCACACGGATTAAGAAAGTGGGAAACGTGTGACCTAAAGTTGTGCAGAGGAGAGAAAAATGGGGACAAATGCTGTGAACCACATATTCTTTGCCAAAAAAGGAAAGAGAAGTTTATATTGGGACTGACGAAAAAGACAAGAGTGGAGATAATATTGGGACGGATGGAGTAATTTTTTTTATATCATCATTAAAATATATAGTAAATATTTTATTTCCTAGTTCAGCAGTTTCATCAACATCCGCCACTATTGAAGCAATTTCAGCCAAACTCAGTAAATCCACCCTATGAAACGGGTCTCTTGATATCATCATTTCCCAAATTTATGGTTATCTTTGTGTCAGAAAATAAAGATATCAACAAAAGCAAGCAAATAATAATAATTGAGCTGAAACTCACCAAAGAATTGTGTAAAGATACGGGTGAAGAAGCTCAAGTTACGAGAAACATTATATTGCATTGACATAGGAAGAGGTTTGACAATGGTGTCAATGCTGAAAACATGCTGAAGAAACTGCATAAATCAAAATGTCACTCATTTAGTCAATCAAATCACCAGTCTCGGTTTCACAACCCAACACAATTGTCAACTAGATAACAGAAACAAATATCAAAACTTTCATTGATATCCACAATGAAAGACAAAGAAACCTTTCACGCCCTCCATTCTAGAAGGAGATCACTTTGGTTTGTTCTTACACATATTTAAGTAATATAGTAGCTAAAATATATGGAGTACAAAAAAAGACTGATATCTAAAGGTCTTCTCTAATTTTGATTAAATAGCTTTCGAAACTATATTAATAAATGATTTTGAATAGTACCGGAATCACTTGCACATGTTGAAGAGACTGTTAAAGTGATAGGCTTTGAGGCTCAAAGCTGCAAATTTAAGGGCTGTTTGATTAGGATTTCGGAAGTCCAGGGGCGGGGATAAAATTGAATTTGGATGTACTAGTTTATCATTATTTGTTAGCTTTACGCTAAAAATGATTATATGATTAGTAAAATAGTGTATTCCCATATAATATTTTAGCTTCATTTTATTCCTCAGCCATCTAGTGTAGAAGGAAAAAACATGGTTTTCAGAAACTGAGGACTGAGGTTACAAGAAAAAAAAACATATTTATGAAATCATTTTTTAAAGAGAGTGTAGTATGCATATATAACCTAAATCCCTAAACATTACTACCTCCATATCACTAAGATTGGGACAAGAGGTGGCAGCACGATTATTAAGAAAAGTAGAATGATGTCTTTGACATTGAATTGTAAAGAATAAATAAAGTAAGACGGAATTAGAACCATATAAATATTACCAAATATAGTATGGGAGATACTTAGTGGGGTGGATGAGAAAGGAAAGATGGGACAAAGATACTAGGACGGAGGGCGTATCTGATAAAAATGACATCATGGAATGTTTATTTGCTCTGTCTAAATAGAAGAGTCCTGTTTGAGTAAGTAATTTTCATTTTTTAGTAACACAATCAAGGTAAAAGCTTTTACGATTTATGAATGGTTACCACTAATAAATCCCAAAAACCAACTTTAAGATTATTTTTGAGTAATTGACTAAGATAGCTTAACACTTGGCTTTGCTAGAATTTCACTTAAAACTAAGATTGGTTTTCCCTCTAAAATTTCCATTATAATTTCCTCTGTTTCTTTATCTAACATTTACCCAGCTCCAAATGGTCCCTCAAAGTTACAACTCATATGAGGAGAACATAGTTTGGCTTCAACAGATGAAGATGCATAAATTCGATCACTTTGAGTTCAGTGAGACAGTGACACTAAAATCTCATCCCAAAATATAATTTTAAACGAAGCATTGTCAAATTGGTAAACAAAAAGACGCCAACATTTCAACCAAATTCAAGTGGGTCACGTACAGGAAGAAAAAGTCTATTTTTTTCAGCACACAACATACATATATAAACGAGAACACTGAAAGAGCTAGATGAGACCTTGAAGTTTCTCTGGAAGCTGTAGCGTAGCTCAGGATCGATTTCAATTAGAGAATCGTCTTCGAGATCATTGGCTTTGGATTCAACGGACTTCATCGCAGGGACGTGCATAGTTGGAGTTGAACCTGGTTCTCTCGTAACCTTCAGAGAGGCATCCTTGAACTTTTCGTCTTCTTCAGATCCCACCCTCCATGGGGCCGACTTAAGAAGCTCCTTCTTCCCTTTCGCCATCTCTGGAGCTTCAATGCACAGAGAGAAACAGAGACACGAGAAGACGGGAAATTACACTCGGTACAAGGGTCCAGAATAAATTAATGGATTGGGCCGTAATTTTTTTTGGGTAAACAATTGGGCCGCAAATTAAAGCTTGTTTGATACTACGTAGTTCAAATTCAATCAAAATTATCTAAAATTTAAGAGCCCGTTTGGTACACGAAAATCGGCTGTTTTGGTTGATCATGCTGAAATTTATGAAGTTCTGGCTGAAGTGGCTGTATTGGCTGATTCTGCTGATTTAAGAAAAAATTATCGTTAAAATATATTTTATTAATAAAATAAAGAAAAAGTTATACTATCGTATGTAAAAATAACTAAAATGGTCATCCACAGTAACTTCAGCCAATACAACCAGCAAAGTAACTCCAACATTACTTTTTCTGCTTATTACACAATTCAGCGCGCGAAAGCAAAAAATACGTGTTTGGTGAAAAAGCTGACTGATAAGCTTGATAAGCCGACCCAGTGTTTCTAAACGGCCTCTAAGTGTGCTACTCATTACTCATCCCCTCATTGGTCAACATTCAACAACTCATCATAGGGATAGACGTGAGATGTCCCAAACCAACACAAATTTGTCTATCCCTATGTAACCCAAACCAACACAAATTTGTCTATCCCTATGTAAATTATATATTAGCATTTGTACATTATGTGTACACAAAAAAAAAAATTAACATTTCTAAAAGCACTAGATGTTAATAACTACATACAAAAAATCTATCGAGATTTCTTTTGTAATTGATAAAACAAATTCAAGTTATTGAAGCAATTTTACATTTTTAGGAAATTTGCTCTGCTTGATTTTTTGTAATGTTAAAAGATACACTTCAAAGTAAAAAATTGAATCTAGATTGAATTGAAGATCAAATTAGATATCCCGGTAAGCCCTATATAGAAGATCAAACTAAACATAATTGTTTATTTGAGTCTTTCATAAAATTTGTTCTTGGTTGGGGTAAAATTATTTAACTAAAGAATGAGACGAGTGTATAAAGCTAGAAATTAATGACATAATAACTAAGAAAATAAGTTTGATCATTAATATCACTAGTGCAAAAAACGTCATCTGCGGCGGTTCTGGAGAGCCATGCGCGGCGGTTTTGACCGCCGCAAACGGGTACTGACGCAAATAAAAAACGCGCGGCGGTTATTAGTATAAAAACCGCCGCATATTTAATTAATTAAAAAAAATTGAAAATTAAATAACGTGCGGCGGTTATTACTATCAGAACCGCCGCATATTCATTAATTTCAAAACATTATGGGTGGCAGTTATTAGCATAAAAACCGCCGCTGATTTAAAATTAAAAATAAAAATTTCAAATGTGCAGCAGTTATTAACGAAAGAACCGCCGCATATTTTAATTTTTGTAATTTTTTCAAAAATATGATATATACCTATTTTAATTAATAGAAATATAAACCCATACAATCTACAACACATAACAACATAATCAATCATGGCTTTCAATTGAAAACTCATTGATACATCAAAACGTAAGTTTTAATTAAACTTTAGAATTAATACTTTGTACAAAGACTTCTTGTCAAAGTTACACATCTAAATAACAATTAAGCTACATCACAAGGACTAACTACATTAAGATGTTGTATTAACTTCCACATCTCAGGAATTCTTATTTCTTCACTCTCATCTTCAAATCCAATCCTGAAATATATTAAACATAGTTCCTTAAAAACAAAGTAAATTAACAATTGATACTCTTTAGTAAATCAATAAACAAAATTAACTAACTATTAACATTCTTTAATTAGCTACTCGGTACTTAATTAAGTATTAACATATCGAATGTTATATAATGATCATATATGAACCTGAAAGAATTGCCTCAATTGGCTGAAAGCATGAAATAATCTAACTTACTCAAACCACATAATCTGCAAGAGAAATCAACTTGTTTGTGAAGATGGAATTCAAAATCTCATCCGCACTGCTTTTCATATTACATTCGCACTTGATTTTAATTTATAACTAAAAAAAACAGAAGAGTTCCCCTTATTCCAATATAATGGGCACATTCAAGTATTCAACTATAAAACACAGAATAGTTCCCAAATAAATAATAATGAGCACACTATGATATAATTTCGTTTGATATAATTTCAATAAGAAATTTGTTAATGGATTGCAGGAAATATGAATAATTCTACGAGTCTTGTTTCATTGTACCTTTTCTTTGCACTTTGTTTTGATTTTCCTCTATGCCACTTTGATATTTATACATTCCAAGTACTCAAGATGTGAAGGGGTTCTCTGTTAAAGACATTAGACATAAATTTAGACACCAGTGATACGAAGTTGTCTTAACTTCCATTTGTACATCAAGAAAAATTACACACCACATATCATGAAATTCATATATTTCTTCAATATGACTCTCTTCAAATCCAACCCTGAAATAAATATTAAATATAATTTATGAATAACCAAATAAATTAACAATTAACGGTCTAACAAATCAATAAAGAAAACTAAATAACTATTAACATTCTTTAATAAGAACTTAATTAAATAATAACATCGCCAATATAATGATCATAGATGAACCTGGGAGAATCGCATCAGTTGGCAGAAATAATTTAACTTCTCCAGCAACAGAATCTGCAAGAGAGATCAACTTGTTAGTGAAGATGGAATTTAAAATCACATCCGCGGTACTTTTCAAATTACATCTGCACTTGATTTTTGTAACTTCAAAAAACAGAAGAGTTCCCACTACTAACCATATAATAAGCACACAATATATAGCGGCACATTTAACTAATAATGAGCACAAATTACTTCCAAATAAATAATAATGAGCACACTAAACATATCACTTTAGTATGCTATGTTTGACAATTATATGCCTTTGCATATATGTTAATAGAATAATTATCAGCTTAAGGCAAGTAACGTGCATGGGAAATAGAAACGACTTCAAAGGATAAACAGCAACAAAAAGTGCAATATAGAAACAGAAATAAATTCAAATTTTCATAAGAGATAAAAGAAGGGGCCTTGAACGCAAATAACACCTTTGATAAACACGATCAATGGATCAGTTTTCACTTGTTGTGGAGGAACGCAAGCTGGTTACCTTGACATACTTGAGCCAAGCAAACCATAAATTCAAACCTGTTAGGTAAATTAGGAATCACACCCTCTATGTCACAATAAAAGTAGGTACACTATGGAAAAGCAACAACAAGAAACTAACCATATGCACACATTCACAGTGATTGTATACATTAGGGACTTCATGATCCAAATGACCCAGGTAGCGAATTAGGTACTCCACGAAGTATGCAGCAGATTAGACGGTGAAGTAGGCAGCGAATTGGACAAATGAATCTCCTAATTACTCCAAATCAATGGTTAAGAAGCATCATTTCTATTGTCCTCAATTTAACTCTGAGATGACGGTGTTGTACAAGAAATGCCAATGTATGAGTATAACAGAGTCTCATACAGAGTAAAGAAACAATAAATATATTTTACGGAGTAATATACTAGTAATATATTACACCACGTACCTCCTCTTTTTGATTTTCTGGCTAGGTATGAGATGTTATCACCATCACAAAAGCTTAAAATTCAGGCCTATATCATTCGGAAAGATGACTATAGTGTTAATATAGTCGATTAAGAAAATTGAATCACATGTAAATGATTTGAATATTCCTATCATACACACAAAACAATAAAATCATATCTTAAATCTTAAATCTTAGAAACGAAATAAATTAAATAAATATAAATTAGAACCCAAAAGAAGCATAAATCGAGCGAGGTTGAGACTTGAGAGATGCCTGAACCAGGAAAAACGAAAATTTCCGCCTCAACTTGTTGTCATCGCAGTCTTTCCTGTCTCCGCTGCCCATCGTAGCCATCATTGCTGTCGTCGCTGCGCGCCACCGCTGCACGCCGCCGCTGCGCGTCGTCGCAGTCCTTGCTGTCATCGCCTCCATTCGATATCGACCACCGCTTCATACTCTTCGTCGCCACGATTAAGCTAATACTGGAGCAGTCCGTGAAGATCGAAGCCGCCGTTGAAGAGCCCTAGAATGAAGATTAGGGTATTTGTTTGATGGGAGCTGCGATCTGCGATCTGCGGAGTAAATGTTTAGGATAGACATATCTACCAATTTGTGGCGGTTGTTATTTAGCAACCGACACGCGTACTTCATTTTACCAATATCAGTGGCGGTTAATTTACTCAAACCCGCCGCCCATGTTTGGAAGTACTCTTTCTTGTTGAATGCGTCGGTTTTTTAATGGAATAACCGCCACAATTTTATTACGATTTTTTCAAAAAAAAATATAAATTAAATTATTTGCGGCAGTTTTGATATAAAAACCGTCGTGCGTACCTCAAAAATTCTAATTTGCATAATATGTGGCGGTTTCTCCATAACCGCCGCGTATCCGATGCCGCAAATCAGCATTTTTCCACTAGTGTATATTTCATTTGTTATTAGTAAGAAAATTGGAAAATTTAGATCTTAAAAATGTTAAATGACAAGAATAGTGTAATACGAAGTAGAAATGAGAATAATGTAAATTTCAACGTGGTGTAATAAAAAATGAACGGATGCATTATTAGTCATCGGATACTACGTTACATACGTAGTAATTATCACTTAATGTTCAGCCGATCTGTTCTGTCTATGTATATATGATACTAGTTTTGTAACGCGTGTTGCGCGATGGGGATAGTGCCCAATGCATACAGTGTATCCTAAAATGTGGTGTATTGTAATTTTGTTAAATAGCAGTTTGTTATTTCAGAGAAGCATGCCTTATGTGATTTTTTGTGGTACTTACATTGCCTTTCATGAGCAATGATGATATAGATGTATAGAACTCACTAAAATTTCAATGGTCACCATTTTCCACAGCTGAAAAGATCGTAAATTTCAATAGTCACATGAAAGAAAGAAACCTAAAGTCACTATATGTTAGGGAGTACTACTTATGTTCCATTCAAAAGTTTCCATTGCAAAATGAAACGGTTATTTAGATAATACTACCTCCGTCCCGGTAGACTTTGCCAAGTGCAAAGTAGGTGAGAAATAAGAATAGTAAAAATTGTGGGGTTGAGATTTGTGCAGAGGAGAGAGAAATGTGCAGAACCACAAATTAGTTGCTTTAATAAGAAAGTGGCAAAGTTTTTTTGGGACAACCAAAAAGGGAAAGTTGGCAAAGTCCAATGGGACGGAGGGAGTAACTAAATATGCTAATTCGAGTATGTTTTGAGAAATAACCTTTAATGATTAAATTGTTATTTAAGAGTGTTAATAATTTCCAAAATAGAAAAGGGGAACTTTTAAGTGGAACGTAAAAAAAAAATGAGAACTTTTGAATGTGACGAAAGGGGTATCATTTAAGTATGGAACATTCGGAATCAATAAATCCCCCAATAACTTTATTCACATAGAAGGTTTCATATCATTATTCCTTAACTCTACTTCCTTTTAATATTTGATTTTATATGAATTTGTATTATCTTTATACGGAAAAAAAAAAGGGTTGTCGTAAAAGCTATACATGTTTGATATCAAATCTTTGAAGGAATTTGCTTAAAGTTGGTTTAATGAGAAAAAAACACTTGTATGAAAAATAAGATCTCTCATAGGCCAAAGAAAATAAAGACTTCACATGTGCTAGCGAGTCGGACTCTTGAACTCCCTGAAAACAAACACTACAATTAAAAGGAACCATCCAACAATTATCAGAAAAAGCTAATATGTGGTTGCTATACCCAAGCTATATTAGAACCTATCAGAAAAATCTTAGAAGTGCAGTTTTTAAATGTATAGATATTTAGGATATAAGTATTAGTCAGGCGACACACCTTCTCGCCTGGGAGGGCTTTTCTAGATGTGAGGCCCAGAGATTAAACCACAAAAGCAAGCTACCCCTTTTGGTTCAGAACCATCTCATTCAACAGAACCATCTCAACCATTTATGGGTAACCATATATGGCTCAGGAGAACCTTCTGTCTTGGGGACAGTCCACTTGTGCACAACTCTGAGCAAAAGTATGACCTTGTCATCCTATTGCAAACTTACATTCTTTAAGCGACCTTGAATGACGCCATATATTGCAATTATATAGGTACGTATAACACATATACACAATGAGTAGAAAGTAAGAGAGGGTTTCATTTTACAAGCAGTTTAGCAGAGCTAAGCCTTATACTTAAATCAAAGATGGGTGTCATATACACCACAGTTAACAATATAGTAATGGGTGTCAAAGCATCTGTGACCCCAACAACCACATTCTTGGGTTAAAAATGAAATTTTCATGTTCAGTACACCTCAAATTAAATAATTATTCCTTCATCATGTGCCAATTTTCAGCAAAACCAATCACAATTTCAATAATAGATTCTTCCATCCTAATAGTTTGAATTTAAAACTACCAATATCGAGAAAGAAGAGATCAAATATAGTGAACTATGGAAGGACCATAAGAAGAGCGTAACAATCAGTTTTTAGAAGGATAAACGTGTATTGCTACCTGCCATTTACAAAACTGTTTTGTTAGGAAATTAACCAACATACTATTAAATAAAAAAACTTGAACATAAAGGCAATTATAAACACTTCCACTAAAACTTGAATCTTTTGCCAGAAAAAGCTAATGATATTTTTTCTTAAATAGGATGCCTTGGAGAACAATTGGTTCCCATAAAAACAACCATAGAATTAAGTTTGAAAAAGTAGATTACACATATTAAAGAACAAATCAATTAAAAAAAACTACATAACATGATACTACCTCCGTCCCATTTTATGTGTCCTACTTTGAGTTGGCACAATATATTAATGAAATGGTTGAAAAAGTAAAAGTTGTGGTTGCAATTTGAGTGTAATAGAGTGAAATATTGTAGACCATAGATTTCATTCCAAGGAAACGAGACACTTATTTTAGGACGACCCATAAAGGAAAGTGGGACAGGTAAAATGAGACGGAGGGAGTATATGATAATTGACCATTTTCAGAAATCTGATGAAATCTCAAATTTTATACTGTATAACCTAGTCTAAAAATGATGACATATAAATCTGAAATTTAATTTTCAAGATTCATTTACCTTGTACCAATAAGGTGAAAAGAAGACAAATTTTGATATCAAATCATGGTCCATCTAACAACCCTCAACCAAAATGATGCTTCTTAGGGAGGAAGATTATAGAACCAAATCAGCAATAAGAATAAAAAACTGAGAAGGTATAACACTGCAAAAATAATCTTATTTTTGAGAGAAAACTTGCATTTTTGACCCCTGATTCCAACCAAAACTCCTCCCAATATTTTGTTGCTTGTATTTACAAAATTTAGTCTCTAAATCCATTAAATCAATAGATCTCAATATCTTCCGGTTCATACTTTGCTGCTTAGTTTCCTACTCCCACATCAATCGTTAGAAGTTGATTGTGAATTGACCAATTAATGGTTACAATCAAGTAAAAGTAAATAATCAAATACACCAAAATTTCCAAATTAAGGGATGAAACTCACCAGAGCACCAGTGATCGAGTAAACGGAATGAACAAGACTGATGAGTGGAGTTGGAAGACAAAAGATATACTACCTCCGTTCTTAAATAAATGCAACACTTTGACTTTTACACTATTCACATGTTCTACTTTGACTACATTTTATTTATTAATATAATAATATTTTTTTATGAAAAAATATTGTTAAACTTGTCTCATTGTAAATTTTCATAATATAATTTTTTTAGATTTTTTACTAATACAAAATCATATATATATTAATGGTCAAAGTTGTGTCTCGGCAAATGTGAAATGTTGACCGTTGCATTTATTTAAGAACGGAGGAAGTACTTTGTATATGATAGGGAAGGCCAGGAACGGCAAAGGCTGAGGAGACGATTGAGGGCTGTCGAAACTTAACGGAGATGACAACAGACGGTTCGAGCTTTAGTTTAACGGAGATGGAGAATTAATACCGGTATAAAATAATGAGTACACTGGTTGAAGAAAAGTTAACGGAAGTTTAAAGAGGTGAAGACTAAAGGAAGAAAAGTTAGAATATAATTTAAGGGGTACAATGTTTTAAAATGAATGTACAATCCAATCTAGCTCTATTGTACCACCAACACATTTCATATACCCAAAGAACCCTTACTCTCATTCACTTTTATAAGTTTTTAGAGATTATATGTAAATCCATTATCCATGTATATATGTTGTACTCCATGATTAGAAAATTAGACAAAGATTGATACTATGTCTATTTAAACTAGTATACATATAAACAATAAACCTAGGGTGTGGTGGGGCAAAAGGGTGTATTAGTGTGGAGAGATCTATGACTAGGAATGGTGAAATGCCTAATCCGCCCCTCCTGCTCAATCATATACCCTTTGCAAAGAAAAGCCATCGAGAATTTATTTTCCACGTCCCTATCCACGTCATGCACAAAGACGTCGGTGTCCCCTTCCGCCCTGTTCCGAGCAATCAGCCCGGCGGTGTAAATGGCGCCCATCCTCCCCGGCGCCTCGCGGTGGTAACCGGTGGGGGCGTCCACCATTATCAGGTCCCATTCCGTCTCGTACACTATGTCCGGCAACCCCTTCAGCGACAGTCGGCATTTCGACTCTCTTGGATCTCCGACCACCTTGCATTCCTCCTCCTTCATCCCCGCTTCTAATAGCTTTTCCGCCTCCGTCAGCTGTTCATATCAACATGAACATGAGTATATCAGTGGATGATAAAGTCGCCCAAAAATAGAATCTCTTATTAAATGTTATTTTACTATAAAAATAACATTTACTACCTCCGTCCCATTTATATTGTTCCGGAAGAAGGTGACACGGTTATTAAGAAAAGTGGGTTTGTGTGGTTGATATTAATTGATAAAGTAAGAATAAAGTAAGAATGATTTAGTGTCACACAAACTTTGCCAAATATGGTATGAGACAATTTATTTAAGTGAAACTTCCCATAAAGGTAAAACGAGACAATATAAATGGAATGGAGGGAGTAATGATTATATGAGCTATTTCTATTATCAAAATATTACTCCCTCCGTCCCGAAAACAACTTCCCACTTGCCTTAAATGGATGTCCCAAAATTAACTTCACACTTCAATACTTTCCTTATTTGGCAAATTATCTACATCAAAAAAGTGATAAACAGTGCCAAACAGTGTTTAAACAGTGCAAAACAGTGCATTCTACAGTAAAGTCAAATTCATTTTCTAAAAGTGTGTGAAAGTCCAACCGGGAAGTTGTTTTCGGGACGGAGGGAGTATATAATTAGATTTAATTTATAAAAAAATGAAAAAGGATAAATTTGTCTTAGATGATAGTTTGTTTTCTTAAGGTCTTAGATGATAGTTATGCTCACAAATTTTAAGGTGCGCAAATAAACTCCCTGATATAATTAAATAAATTTTATATTGAGCTAAAACATATCACCTATGTCACTCAATTTTGTCAAGTTAATGTGAGGTGGAAATTTAAAATAATAAAAGTTATGTGATATTGTGATTGAAGTTTGTGGATAGAAAACTGAACCATAAATCTATAATTTTAAAAGAAAAATGACAAAATTTGGTGAGATAAACAAAAAAAATAAAATTTGCAAAATTCAGTCGACGGGGGGAGTGATTACTAGGCACTTCGTCTGTGTTCGATAAGATTTCTTCACATGTGAATCTGTGACGTGTTCACGAAATGTCAATCGACATATCTGACCAAAATAAATTAAAGTTTATTGCATGTTTCCCCCCAGAAATTGCCGGCCTTTAATGCCCATTTTACTCCGTTTGGATAGTAGTAGGACTCCGTATTTTATTAAAAGCGTTTTGAAAAATACTTTTTCCATTCCACAAAATTAAGAAAGGAAAATGCTAGAGGTACACAAGTTGTACACAACTTGTACACACAATGTCGGTCACAGACAATTGGTACGGAATTGTCTGTGACCACAGACATGAGTTGTCTGTGTACACAGACAAATTTTGTCTGTTTCCACAGACATTTACTTTTTTTGTAAAAAGTACACTGAGAGTCGCCTGACACTGACAAGTACTTTTTACAAAAAAGTAAATGTCTGTGGAAACAGACAAAATTTGTCTGTTTACACAGACAACTCTTGTCTGTGGTCACAGACAACTCTGTACCAATTGTCTGTGACCGACATTGTGTGTACAAGTTGTGTACAACTTGTGTACCCCTAGCATTTTCCATTAAGAAAAGGGTCGAGTAAGAGTTTTTACTATTATGGAATCGTTATATAGAATGTATTTAATAACCTAACCGGCACGGGTAGCTCAATTGATCGAGTGGTAGGAAATTTGGATCAATGGACCAAAGTTCGAATCCCCGCAGTGACCGGGTGGAGGTTACAGAACCTAAAATAAGGTTGAACCTCTGATGCGCACGAGTGTAGATTTACTGCCATTTTGCTGACTGAGTTACCGTGACTACTCTTTCACCATCCTGTCGGGTGAGGGTGTTGGGACTCCTGGGGTGGGAGATTCCACCTTGATGGATCAATATATTCAATAAAGTATCATTTAGATACATATACTCATAAAATAAAGAGTATGATTTTTGTTAATTTATGAGAAACTAACGGTACTCCATACCGTTTTGTACAAACAATAGACTTCCAGGGGTACAATGACAAAGTCAATTTTGCTAATTTTGAAAGAAGGAAAAAACTTTTCATAGATGGTCTCGTTTAAGCATCCATATATAGCTAAGTGGTTAAAGGTTGGTTTGCAACTGCTTTTAAAAAAGCACTTCTCAGCTTTTGGCTTTAAAAAAGCACTTATTTTCCCAAACACTACAACTTTTATTTTTCTCGGCTTCCGCGTCAAAAGTGCTTTTACTTTTTCTGTTACACAAAAAGCATTTATTTTACCAAACACTACCCACTTTTACTTTTCAAAATCACTTTTTTCTCAAACACTATCAACTTTTATTTAATCACTTCTTCCCATTTCATTAAAAAAAGCACTTTTTTAAAAGCAGAAGCTGTTGCAAACAGACCCTAAAGCGCCCAACTCGGTTCATAGGGGACGATTTTCATGCGGAATGCATAGAAGAAATTCAAATTTTACTATTATTTTGTATTTTAATTTTAATACTCCGTAATCTTTAGTAAGTAGATCATTCGAACTAAATTCAAATAATCAACAATTTAAATATCGTATTGATTTATTTTATCATCTTACAAATTAGTCATTGATTTCTCATTTAATTTTAATAATAGTACTTTTTTTCGACTTATTCCTATCTTTTCAATAAATGCTTCTGATTTTTTCAAAAAGTTACCAAAGCAGGTGTGGAGTATAATGAAATGGGACTTCTCCTTTACAGACAATTCAGTTTTTATGGATGGGATTGAAAGTGTTTTCATTAGGCATAATGAGGAGTTCTGCAGCAGCTTTATAATGCTTCTTTGGAGAGCTCGGAATGATATTTTGTGGAATCATGGAAGGTTGGAGATCAGAAGACGGACTTTTCATCACCAGGGGTGCCCTGAATCGTGTGGGAGAGTGCTTACCACGAGAGGCTGAAGCGCTATCAATGCAAGAGGCTCTTAACTGGATCAAAGAAGCGGGCTGGACTAATGTTTATATGGAATCAGATGCACTTCAACTTGTTAAGGCTATTAACGAAGAATCAAATGCCTCGACTTTTGGGATCATTGCTGATGATATTAGAGAGCTATCGGCTAGTATTTCTGGCATTAAATTTGCTCATGTGAGGCAGTCAACGAACCGAGTATCCCATGATTTGGCTAAGGCTGCAGGTTCTATGTCTGGTCGCTATGTTTGGGATAACTTTCCTGCTGATTGTATCGTTTCTTCTTTAAACCATGATTTCATTAATATAAGTTGATTTGTTTTTTGTAAAAAAAAAAAAACTCTTGAGAAAAATCATAAAAACAAATGGGTGTTTGAAAAATCTTGTTTCAGCATAAAAAACTGACGGTTTAACCCGTCTTAATGTTTTCAATAAACGAAAAAAATGTTTTGTAAACAGTTGTTCGATCATAGCGTTTTTGGACGTAATCGGTGAAATAAAAACGCTGCAAATAGGAGAGTTTTGGGTTAGCGTTTTGAAATATGGCGTTTGTAATATTTTTTTGGTCAAACAACTAAATTATCAAACATCTTACGACAAACTACCAACTTATTCTACTAGTGAAATCCACTGCCTGAATCCGCTATTGACAACCCGCTAGTATAATCCGTTATTCTTTAACCGCTAACCGCTAAATGTGAAACATGCTCAAAGTCCATGTCTGGTATCAGATCGCAAGCTCACTTTTAGCTGCATACTAGTGATATAATATAGTCCATATATTTACATTATGTATCTTATGATATTTAAATAATGAAAAAATGACAAGTATATTATTAACAAAGTTATTCCGGACAAAAATATGGCTAGTTATATTTTTTAGATAAAAATATGATTAGTAACTGTATACAAGTAAATGTACAAGAGTCACTATATTTATTTCAGAGTAATAAATCACTGGTAGAAGATGAGAAAATGGAAACTGGTTAGTGAATATGTCACTTTGTTGTTGTTTTTTAAAGAGAATATTTCCCGAAATAAGAGAAAAAAAGTTTGAAAATTTCAAAATAGGACTCATGTTTTTATTACCAAAATATGACTAATTATTGCAGAAATTTTACCGAGCACGCCACGTGCTCATTAAAGTGCACGTAAGTTCAAATGGCCAAAAACGAGGTTAAAGAGAAACAGAAAAAGAGTTCCCCCAGATTTTCGCCACCATTGTCATCGCCGGAGTTCTGTGCCACTGCCGCCAGAATCTACCGCCGTTGGAGTTTGCTGCCGCCGTCATTGATTGACTCGCCACCAACAGACTGACAATGGTTATGGAAGGGAACTAGAAGGCAGTTAATTAGGTTAATTAATTAATTGTCTAATTAATTTAAAGGTAAAAACAGAATGAAAAATCATATTTAGAAAAAATAAAAAACATGATCTTATTTTTAGAAAAATGCTATGTTTAGTCTCCGTTTGAGAAATTTTCTCAATTTAATTATTGTTTAGAATAATTTATCAATTAATTATCTATGGAACGTTGATGCCATTACATTTTAGCCGAGTCACGTATGGGCTACGTGCTTATTAAGGAGCCCGTGACATGCTCCTTAAAATTTTCGCTAATTACTGTCATGTTTTGACAGTACCAGACTTCAAATATGATAATACTAGGTTTCAAGCCCGTGCGATGCACGGGCAATACATAATTTAGCTAATTTTCAATTTATTTTTTTGGAATCATATATATATATATATATAATATGATGCAAAAGCAAAATAAATTTAGTCTAAATATAGAGTTCGTTTGATAATACTAAAATTGGTGAAATATGCTTATTTTACTAAAACTGATTAAATTCTGACTGAATGGACTGAATAGGCAAAATATCCTGAATTATAAAAAAAAAATACTCCATTTGTGAAATAAAGAAAAAATTATATGAAAAAATATATTTAAATGTTCTTCCACATAAGCATCTCAACTAATCATAATTATTGTGAAACCGATTTTAAAGAATTCACATAGAAGCTTCTTTATTAATCTCACGCCCTCTAAATTACTTTATTAAGCACCTCAAAATATATTCTTTCATATTCCTCATTCAACTTGATATGAAATATGGAGTACATACGATTTACTCATTATTAAAATGTACAAAAAATGGAGTATTTTTAATTTGTGACATTGAAAACGATTTTTAATTGTTATGAACGCCTGGATTACTTTATTGAGCATTCCAAAATAATATTTTTTTTAATATTTCTCATTCAACTTGGTATAATATACGAAGTAGATGTTTTTAAATTTTAATAGTGAAATCTAACATTTTACTCATTATTTCGTCACATTAAAAACTCCATTAACAAGGATGCTTTTAGTTGAATTAAAATTTACGGGTTTGATTTGGTCAGAAGTAATAGGATCTGGTAGATGTCTGTTTTACATTTTATGTGTTCTATTATTATTATTATTATTATTATTATTATTATTATTATTATTATTATTATTATTATTATTATTATTATTATTATTATTATTATTATTATTATTATTATTATTATTATTATTATTATTATTATTATTATTATTATTATTATTATTATTATTATTATTATTATTATTATTATTATTATTATTATTATTATTATTATTATTATTATTATTATTATTATTATTATTATTATTATTATTATTATTATTATTATTATTATTATTATTATTATTAAAGTTTGATCTGATCTGATCTAGTATAGACATGAAATCAATCTAATTAAAAACATCCTAAGATGTAAACATACAAAGATTTCCTAATCTGGATTAGGAATCTATTTCAAAAGTGATGTCATATTTAAATTGTAGTTGTAAAAATAAACAAATGAAATAAAAAGTACTCCGTATAAAAATAATCAAATAATTTTTACTCCATGCTTATAAAAAGTAGTACTCCGTATAAAAGTTGTGGATTAATAATTATTAATTTTTGTGGTTCCACTTAGGATGTTTTCTTTTGGACTGAAATTTGCTGGTCTGGTCTGTTTAAGTTTGGTCTGGTCTGGTCTATTTAAGTCTAGTCTGGTCTGGTCTGTTTAAGTCTGGTCTGGTCTAGTCTGGGACTGAAAACAGTCCAAAAGAAAACATCCTTAATGAATTTAATAATTATCAAATACGGAGTATGTAATATGTAATATATAGGTTTTGATAAAGTTAGTTACCAAATAAAGTGGATTTTTATCATAAAATATTTTGTTTCCATATCAATATTAAATCAAAAATAGAATCTAATAAAATAAATAAAAAGTACGTATTAAAAAAAAGTACCTAGATTGATTTATGTGGCAGGATTAAATGGAGAAATCTATTTAAAAAGTACGTATATATGATGGAGTATTAGAAAGGTACGTATTAAATGGAGTATTAAAAAAACTAAATACTAATTATTATATATGATGGATGACATGGCAGGATTAGGTGGCGCTTTGTATGCTCTTAAAAAGTTCCTCTTTTATATATATATATTGATTTTCCAAACTTGACATTAGTTACTCCTATTTTGGAAATAAAAACATGACAGTCTTATTTTAGAATTTTCAAACTTTTTTACTCCTATTTCGGGAACTCTCCTTTTTTTTAAATAAGTCATTTTTTATCTTTTGATTTAAATTTATTAATATTCATGGATTGGAAAAGACCTTGAATAATAGTCAAAGTTTTCCTCATGAATATTATTTTCACACGGAGTAATATTTGAATCACAAAATGGTGTCAACAATGGAAAACCAAGTTGGTGTCAACAAAAAGGATAAGTTACAACGGAAACTTCACAATATAATAGTAAACCAAAATAAAACATGCGAAATTAAATACTCCTTACCTAATTTAAAGTTTGCTATACATTAATTTCTTGTAATAATGTATTTGAAAGTGTGCTACATTTTCATTTTGAAATACTTAATTACTCTTATTCTTTTCTATTTTTTTTATCTTATCTTTCATTTTTTTTCAGTATTTCAGTATACTATTCATTACTCATGATGTATATTTACTCTTTAAATAATGTGTCAGCCTATTGTAGCAATCTTTAATTAAAGGGAAAACTGTCAAACAGGTTCTCGAACTTTCATAAAAAGGTCAAATAAGTCCTTATATAGGAGTCTCTGTCTGGCCGTTGCGATTTGGGGCGGTTCCCGGTGAAACTTTTTAATGAATTTTTTTGAACATCTTATTCATCAAGTCTAGTTTACTCATACCAAATTTGAGCTAAAACTTCAATCGGGAACGCATTCAAATTAATTCTTGAAGATAACTGTGCAGTTAAATGCGCACTTATCTTTCAAGAATTAATTTGAATGCGTCCCCGATTGAAGTTTTAGCTCAAATTTGGTATGAGTAAACTAGACTTGCTGAACAAGACGCTCAAAAATTTTCACCAAAAAATTCTACCGGGAACCGCCCCAAATCGCGACGTCCGGACAGAGCCTCCTATATAAGGACTTATTTGACCTTTTTATGAAAGTTTGATGACCTATTTGACAGTTTTCCCTTAATTAAATATGGAGGGGTATGAATCACAAAATACTTATATTTTCTTAAAGCAGGTAAAATTTTTAATGAAGTATTTATAAAAAAAAGTTAATTTGCCGAAGGAAGATGATGCCACTAATTAAAATCCCATTCACTTCGATTCCTAAATTTGCGTAGCAGATAGTCAACAACTCTCATTGATTAATGACCACCCTGGTCTCAGAAATCATGACACCTATCATCGTTCATTTGCCGACGTTACGTTCATCAGTCAATGTATGATGTGCAACTTTAATACTTTGTAAATGATTTGAACATTATAGGAAGTATAAATTATACTACCTCTTTCTCAAAAAACACTTTTCGACACTTAACACATTTATTAAGAAACTAAAAATAAAATGAAATGCATGATTGTGTTTGAGTAACAAAAGAGTAAACGAATCTTAATAACATAAATCTTTCCAAAAAGAAAAATGAGAAGAAAATTTTGAAATATCCCAAAATGATAAGTGAGTGAGAAAAATTTTGTGGGAGGAATGGATTAAAATAGTACTACTTTGAAAGGTAATAGAGACAAATATAAAATATACTATCTCCATTCTTAAATTAGTACAACATGTGAAATTTTACACTATTCACATGTTCTACTTTGATTACATTTTATTAATTGATGTATTAATATATTGTTTTGAAAAATATATTATTAAATTTGTCTCATTGTAAATTTTCAAAAACTGATTTTTTTAAATTTTTTACTAATAGAGAATTATATATATTAATGGTCAATGTTGTGTCTTGACAAGTGTAAAATGTTGACTATTGCACTTATTTAAGAATGGGGAAATACTTCCTATTTGGCGTAGTTATGTGTTAACATCGGGTGATCCCATCGTCAGGTTTATCCTACTATGCCCACAAAAATCCATCAAACACGGCGTAGTTAGCGGCCAATTCCACTTTTATGGAAAACCATTTCAATTCAATTTTTTTTTTTGATCTTCATTTCAATTCAAATTTACAAAATGTCTTAAACTTAAATGTATGTACTTTTTTTTTAAATATTATTTGTACGTTTCGAACTAGCGTGACTCTGCGCGTGCCTACACTACAGTGATGACTGATGGCTAAGGATCTCACATTGTCACTAGCTAGAATGTTTTTGAACTATGAACCAATAAGCTAGGTAAAATACCTTGGTGTCATAAACGACATGATACGACTCAAGGAAAGGAAACCGGAGATTTGTCTCGTCCATCCAAGCGCTGTCCTCCTCCAGGAACACCGTCCGGCCGCCGTGGTTCAGGGCGGTCCACATCAGCGAGTCGTGGCCCAACCCGAAGACCAGGAAGTTGCACGGCGACTTCCTCTCCAGAACCCTCATTGACACCGAGATCTCATTCAGAGACTGCTGAGGTGTGACGTTGTTGGTGACGTAGTGGACCAGCGCGTACGCCAGCGACGCCGGAATCTTGCCGCATCCCCCGTGGAGACAGGATTCCGACGATTCCGCCGGTTCTTGATTTCGCGGCGACTGTTGCGGCTTTTTCGCCGGAGTAACTTGCTTTGATAATGCCAGTAGTGATGGAGGGAAGCTTGATTTTGGGATTAGGAACAGCAGGAAAATTATGAAAAAGCAAATGAGGATGAACTTGAAGTTCAGATTAATGGTGAACTGGCTTTTCGACCTCATTTCAAAATAATGATAATTATAATTGTACTTATTGCTGCAATTTAAAAATCAGTGTTTGATCGATGGAATGAATAATAATGAAATGAAGAGATATGAGGAATGGATAGGAGTTTGATGGAGGACTTTATATAGAGTTCGGTAACACCGAAATCGGCTGATCCTGCTAAATTTATGAATTACTATCTTAAGTGACTGTATTGGCTGATCTATGCAAAAATTAGATTTATAACATATTTTAGTTATAAAATAAAGAAAAAGTTATATATAAAAATAGTTAAAGTGGTCATCTATATAAACTTATGCCGAAACAACCAAAAAAAGTAAATTCAACATTACTTTTCTTATTTTTATACATTTCGGCGAGCGAAATCAAAAGTTAAATAATGTTTGATGAAAAACGACTGATAAGCCGTATAACAGTGTTACCACACGAACTCTAACACATATATACCACAAAAATATTACTATGCATGAAAAAGAATTAAAATGACTTTATAGTATAACTTCATTCAATTTAATCACAAAAATAATTTTATTGTTTTAATATTAAGCATGTGAAATTAAAACATACATACATTAAAAATTGATTGATAAAATAAATTAACCGAAAAACAGTGTCACCAAACGGGTCTATAACATTAATATTCATGAGCTCAATTCTTATTTAACAATTTACTTAATTAAGTCTGTCCCACAAACAATTTTGTTATCGTATGCTGTTTCTGTTTATAGTTTCGAATTAATTACACAGAGCACGTAGTACAGTTGTGGAAATATTGTTATTATTATCCGGATTACGGAGTACTATTTTAAGCGGACTCGTCACTAAAAAAAAGTTAACATTTAATTCACTTTTGGCCGGATTTGGTTATGGATGCATAAATGCATTTAATATTTCATCAAATGCAGATTTGGAATAAAATTGAGCATAAAAAAATTAGGTAGGGTGAAAACTGGAAGAAGATAATCAATTATGTTGCTCATCATGAAAATCGATTTCGAATATGGTTTGGTGAGCAGTGAAGACCAACCGACCACCGTAAATTTGGGGCCACATTAACCGGGTGACGTAGGCCCGTAACTCACCTGGTAGTAAGCTATGATGCACGGATACGAATACTCCCGTATGTTGATACCGTGTTTAGATACGACGATGTGACAACTTCAAAAATTATACCCCGTAAGATTCGAGTAGAGTGGTATATTTGTAAATATATACTTCATACATTCTTAAATAAGCGCAACGGTCAACATTTCGTATTTGTCGAGACACAATTTTGACCCTTAATATATAATTCTTTATTAGGAAAAAAAATTAAAAAATGAATTTTGAAAATTTACAATGAGACAAATTTAACAATATTTTTTCAAGGAAATATATTAGGAATTTTATCAATTCGGGACCTGAAAGATACATGAATTATCAATCTGGGACCTGAAAGATGAAATGTATCGGTATAAGGACCGAATGATGAAAAACTATCAATTTAGAACCTAACATTTCATATAAGTTGATTTATTTAATTTTTTATTAATTCCATTGCTAATATTTGATGTTTTTTTCTTCACAAAAGTTTATTAGTTTAATAAAACAAAATAATATTTAATATTTTAGAATAAAAAAATCAATAAAATTTATGAAAATTTAGGTCCTATATTGACATTTTTCCATCATCCAGGTCTTAGATCGATAGTTTTCCATCATTCGGGTCCTATATCGATACATTTCATCTTTCAGGTCCCGGATTGATAGTTTGTGTATCTTTCAGGTCCTGGATTGATAAAATTCCTACATATTAATACATTATTTAATTTAACGTAGTTAAAGTAAAACATGTGAATAGAGTAAAAATTCAACATGTTGCACTTATTTAAGAACGAAAGTAGTATAATTTAGAGGTCCATAAATAAAATATTAACAGTACAAAAAATTAACGATTATAATAAAATTTCAAAGATTACACTAAAAAAATAAAATACTGATATTTCGATTTAAATTTATATAATATTTTTTGTTCTATATTTGCATTTACATTTAAGTCTTTTAACAAACTGATTTTAATTAAATCTCATCAAACAACAAATTGGCAAATAATAGTATTTCAATATTTTTCATACTCCCGAAAACATCTTTACTAATGTTCCATATCTTGTGGTCGTTTGGGCGATTACTAAATTTTCGTCACATCGTGTATGAAATCAGTGTTATAAAGCTTAGATACGCATATCGGTTCACGAATACAGGTATCAGAAGTATCTATATTTTTATAAATAAGTCCAATACTTTTATTAAATTACGGATACGGACCCGATACGTACAGGACGCGTATCGGTGAATATCGGTATTGAATACGTATCGGATACGCGGATGCAGCATCAGGGTGAAGAATCAGTGCACCATAGGTAGGAAGTGGATCCCGACCACTAATGAGAATTACGGGTTCAACTCCAAGCAATGACTTTCCATCAGAGTGTGATCAGAACTCAACTTGCATCTTTCCAGAAAACTGCATGTCCAATTGTGGGGCTTCATGGATAGGGTGTCATTCTCTTTTTTGGAGACCCATGTTAATTGGTACTCTTTGTGATTCAAATCCATTTTTATTTAATAATTTGTCTTATCCATACTGCATGGAGGGAGTTTGTGCTTAGTTAACCCCAGGCGCCCCCCCCCCCCCCCCCCAAACCCCTCCCCCGACCCCAGGGGTAAAAAGAAGAAAAGACTTAATGGTAATGTCAACGTTTCATTCTAATTTTATGATTGATATGCTTATATTCAGACATTTGCCACTAATGTATGTATCTGACCCATGATCCACATACTCACTAGACACCTAAACAGGTTCAATTGACTTCAGACTCGCACAGATAATCACAATCTCTTCTCGGCCCCTCGTCCACTCAAGGGCACTTAACTTAGCTTAGATGGCGTTTCATTCACTTAAGAAATAAGAACATTTCTGCCAATTGACTCTCGGACGGAACCCCTCACCCGATCGAAGGGCACAACGTCTACTGAGCCAGACACCAGTGGATCCTATCACGGATATACGGACGAGGCACGTTCCCCTTGCCATTGCATTCCAAACATCAATGACACCATATGCCCCCCCCCCCTTCTTTATCTGTTACAAGACTTTGATCTTACATTAGCTGACATATGTTCTCACATTCAATGCACTTAGCATTTATTACCACCATATATAAATAGTTCCGCTTGGGGATTAAATTGTAAGAGTTCAAAAATTATTTATTTCAAAACATCTTTCATCTCTCCATTTAAATATGACTTCTCTCTAAAAATAATTTGTGACTTTCGGTAGCTATCAGCCACATGCACTTGCACAACATATTGCAATAAATCTTAAGGCTTAAGGTTTACAGCTACCATTCTGATGATAATTTATGCTCTAAAACTTAATTCATTTTCTTGTTCATGTACTAGGCCATAGATTTTATGCTCTCATACATTTTCAGCTAACTTAATTGATTTTCATACATGTTTTTATTATGTTTTAATATCATTCACCTATAACTTAATTCTATGGAAATTGGTAAGACAGAACCTAAAGAAGAGGAGTAAGAGGAAGCATCTCTGAAATATGTAAGCTTCTTAAACTCCATTTTGAGTTTATGTGAGCTTCTTAAACTCTGAAATGATCTAGCTATTATGATTTATGATTGTAAAGCATTTTGTATCATTTAGCATGAGCAAAAGTGATATGCACTAATTAGTAGTGCATAAGTGTATGTTTTTATGTTTGATTTATGTGGATTGTTTACCGTTTTAGTTAGTTTGTAAACATTTGTGTGATTTTAGTTGTAATTGTATTTTAATCTTCATTTATAAGTTGTAAAGTAGAATTAGGAATTATAGTGTTGAAAAGGAGGACTTTGAAGTGAAGAAAAAGGAGATTGGACTGTCCAGGAGCTGAAACCCGACCGGGCATAACACTTGACCCGGTCGGGTAAGATTTAACAGACGAAGGTGGCTGGAAATTACACAGACCCGGTCGGGTCCCCTATACCACCCGGTCAGGTCGGATTTGACCCGGGACAGTTTAACGTGCTAAAACACAAGAACGTGGAAGATTATCTGATCTTGACATGCACCCGGTCGGGTGGGCACTTGACCCGGTCGGGTACCCGGCCCAAGGTGTTGAAAAACACCTATAAATAGCACACTTTTCCTTCACTTTTAATCATCCCTTCCTCCATATACTTAAGCTCAGTTTAGAATAGTTATTCCTTATATTTTTATAGCATGTTTAGTCTCCAAATGAGGAGCTAAACTTCCATTTCTTGGTTTTGCTCTTGAAGCTTGTTGATTATTAAAGTTGTGAGTTATTTTCTTAACTTCTTCTTTTGATTATTAATTCTTCCCTTAATCTCATTCTATATTAATGTTGGAGGGTTGCTAAGTGACGATTAGTTAACGTTCCGACATTAGTTATTGCTAGAAACGATCAACGAACCGATGGTTAATCGTTGATGGTTTCACAAGTAAGTAACTTCGGTTTATTAATGCACGGTCGTGGTTAATAAACTTAAGAGGGATTAATTTTGTTGGTTAAACCAAAACCGTTGTGTTGAGGTTATCAATCTCAATTGATTTCATCAAGGAGTTAAAGAGGTTAAATGCTACTATTATATCGGTATACGGCGTTGTTCTATATTTGATTAATAGTAAGGGTTATTAATGAACGGTCGTTGTTAATAACTACCCTCGATGAATTGGAGATACTCCTCGATTGAGTATTCGAGAGGGGATAAGTTATAGATATAACAATGATCGACTGAAATATATCAACAAGTGGAAAGTAGCAAGGCCAAGTCCTTTTTATTCTTGAATTAAATCTCATATAAGTCGTTCATCTTCGTGTTTAATTTAATTAAGTCACTCAATCAACCCCCCCTACTTACTAGTTACATAAAAAGATAATTATTCTTTTCCTTGTGGACACGAACTCTACTACGCTATACTACGTATAAGTGTTAGTATTGGATTTATTTTGACGCACCGTGACAAAGTGCACGTCAAAAAGGTTAGTTCATATGGCATAACTACTTTATTGTAAATCATTGTGTATCATT